AGAGGCAGACAGGTGACTGCCACTCTTAATCTCTAATCTGAGAAGGAGAAATAGAGCCTTATAGTCCAGATCTCTGTCTAAAGGTACTTGAGTTTACATCCTCTTTGTAAAATAACTATATAAGAATTTGCAGCAATAAATCTTCCCACTCAGTTAAATGGAAGTCAGAGTTATCTGCTAAGTGAATACAGCGATGTTGTGACGTAACCTCAAACTTCGACACTATTTTGTTAAAATAACTTTGGTAAAAACCCTGTGATATTTCAGTTCCTTTTTTTGTCTGGGTTTAGGTGACTTAGAGTTGAGGGCATCTGCCTTTCTCATTATCGATAGTCATCGGGGTCTTCTGAAGATTCAGGAAACACAGGATCTGGATGCTGGTGATTACACTTGCGTGGCTACCAATGATGCAGGGAGAGCGTCTGGAAAGATTACCCTAGATGTTGGCTGTAAGTAGCTTGTAATTTTGACTATAAATTCTCTGATTTCAGTATTTTTGTATCTGGTTATTGGTGCCCTAATTTATCTGAGTTTTTGTCAGAACTGTTCATATACCTTCGAATAGTTGTGTATTTTGGAAACCCCTTTTTAGTGTTGTCTACTAAGCTAAGTTTCCTCATATCATTTGCTAATATCATCTTGCTTCCCTCACTCACTACTTATGTACTCCTTTTTTTTCCAGCTCCCCCTGTTTTTACTCAGGAACCCAGTGATGAATCCGTGGACCTTGGCTCAAACATCACTCTGCCCTGCTATGTTCAGGGTTACCCAGAGCCCAAGGTTAAGTGGAGACGGCTGAATGGTGCTTCCCTTTTCTCAAGGCCCTTTGCAGTTAGTTCCATCAGTCAGCTCAGAACAGGAGCTCTGTCTATTAATAGTAGGTGGACTAAAGTTTTTTTGTGTATTGGTATGTACTATATTATCATACACTATATATACACCTTAATATATACTTTGTTAAGTATATGTTGTATTGAAGTGATAAAAACTACCATATAAATGTAATACTTTTTAGTTAAGTTCTCACAAAGTCATTTCTTCACTACTTTGTGACCGGCGGAGATGAGTAGTCTGTCAAGAAAAGTATTTTAAAAGTGAAAGATTTTGGAAATCATTTAAGATGCTGTAATATGATTTTTTAAAATTATTTTTCTTCTTCCAGATCTGTGGGTCAGTGATGAGGGGACTTACATCTGTGAAGCTGAAAACCAGTTTGGAAAGATTCAGTCACGGCCAGCCACAATCACAGTAACTGGACTGGGTAAGAGCGGTTAATGTTAGTATCCTAAGGAAAAGCAACGTTTCAATTCCTGGAACGTACCTGGAATATGTGATGGTGTTTGTACAACAAATAGGAAGTCTGTGTATTACATACATGCACAGTGACAAATCTGTATGCTTATACCTGAGGCTACATTTATATAGTCTTCTACAGAAACTGATACCTGCATTGAATATTATAATTGAATTTAGTTAATTTTGCCCATTTGAACATTGCCTTTTGATTGACTACAATAATTTAAATTAATTCCATCTATACTTTATTAAATAGACCTTCCAAAATAGTTTCTCTTTCATTTCTTTCTTAATCCTAAGTAAATTTCTTAAGGAGTGAAAAATCACCATAATGCTCAATGCTTGTGATGAATTTCCAGCTATATAATTCATCTGAGAAATAAAAAAGCATCAATGAATTAGCTCAGGGCACAGTCTTGATATAATTGGAAAGTGATCCAAGAAGACTGTAAACATCCAGTCTTGACAATAGCTGTGCTATTAAGGAACTGTTTATTATCTCAGTTGGACAGTTGGCAATAAAAGGAGGTAATAATGCTATGGAATGTATATATTTGTGGGAGCATAGGAATGCAGATCCATCTGCCATCAAAGAAAATATTTGTTATCTTAAAACATATGGTGGGAAGCTGTATGCTAGGAACATTTGATAGACAGGATGTTTTTACCAATTTAAAAGTGTTCTTTAATCCCCATTATTTAAAAGTAACTTATGCTGTGTGTGTATACAAGGGCTTTCTGCTGGAGCTTAGAGAGCACGCAGAATTTTTGGCCAGGCTGTTGATCTCTATTCTAATACTTCAAGTTTTGTGACCAGAGGAAACTACTGCTTATATTTTGCCCTCACCAAATCTACTACTTTTATTCTTCAGTGTTTTCTTCAAGTAAGGAAAAACAATACATCAACATGGTGTCCATGGAAACTTTGTTTGGCCGTATGTGCCTAGCATTTGCACAAGGAGAACTTTGTCTGAAACTACTGCAAGCTGCATTAGGGAAAGTTCAGCTTTTATACTTTGCATGAGTATATAAAAATACCTAATAGTTCTTCTAATTCTCTTTTTGTTCAAGTTACGCCTCTGATTGGAGTAAGCCCAGCCACAGCCAATGTAATTGAGGGACAGCAGCTCACTCTGCCATGTGTACTGCTTGCTGGAAACCCCATTCCAGACCGGAAGTGGATAAAAAACAGCATAGTGGTAAGAATGTCTTGTTTTCTTTAAGATTCTTTGACAAAGGAAAGCTGCAACCTACATTTTCATCCATGTTAACTTGGTAAAGCAACTCTTGCAGAGAGATTTAAAGAGATCGATGTACAAGTATAGATTTTAAACTTACACAAAAAAAATGATGCATCACAAACTTGGACTGACTCACTGAAGCAAGGATGCGAGTGTCGGAGAGCTGAGTTACGGTGACCATGCCGACAGAAGAGGAGCTGCTACCTCCTTGGAAAGAGCCAAGGGGATGGATGTGTAAAGCTGCAAGTGTGGAGTTTCTGTAGGGACTGTAATTCGGAGTGGAGCCCTTCCCTGCTCTGAGAAATGATAGTTGAGTCCAAAATTAGAAAAAGGTTCAAAATTGAAAAGTGGAGGTAGCGACATCCTCACATTATACTTTACTCTCATCACTGCCCATGTCAAGAAATAAAGCTCCAAAGCATAGATGAGGAAAAAGGAGACAGTAATGGAGGAGAGGAAGGTCTAGCAATGAAATAGGAACCAAAGGATTTGTGAATTGTCGTTCCTCCCTTTCTTCTCTTCCTATTTTTATTTTATTTTTTACTGTGACAGCAATTTTATGTATTCTAGTTAGCTCCTGAATGTCGGCCTTAGGCTCTGAATACAAGATTGCTAGTGCAGCATAACCATCATAATTACAAAATTGCTGGAACTTTGAATCCTGGTAACTGAAAACTGTTTCCTTTTCCCTCATTTTTAAAATAAAGATATTGTAAAGATATCAGAAAAATTTTGTAGTTTAATGCTTTTCTTGTAAATGAGTTTTACTGTTGCTAATGGGATGAGATCAAATGTCAGCATCCCTATATTATTTGCTTCTTTCCTAGTTGTATATTTTCTCTTTCCTTCCAGAGCCTCCATTAGTAGTAACAACTCCTGCACGAAGGAAGGTTGCGTGCACCCTGTACTTACATTTGTTATCTGAGTAGTTTCATTTCTTTAGCATTAGCCAAATTATTGCCACAGATCCCTATGGAGTTCTGCTTTTAATCTTGTTTGCAGATTGTTCCTAAAGCCTCTTCTCCATGCCTGTAATTGAAAGAAGTGATAGCAAAAATTTCTTCACCTGAGTTTTCACATCTTATATTAGATACACTGTCTTCCATCGATATAGCTGCAGGTTATTTCCTGGGGGCTTCAAGGAGACCCACCTCAGTTATTGCTTACTGTCACCAAGCAGGACCCTGGCTGTGTCCTCCGTTGAAGCTGCTAGAGTTTTCTGCTCAGTTTGTACCATCGAGAATTAATGGCCTTTTCTTTACACTGTGTAGGTGCAAGGGACACAGGCTCTAACTTTTGTGAGAAACACTGGTAAGATGCTTCTCTCAGAGTTGCTGATGCCTCTGTATAGTAGTGTTTTTAAATATTGCTTTAGGATATATAATTCCTTGGTGAGAGTTGCTATGTTTCATTATCTGTCACAATAAAGGATTTTTAAGTGTTGCTGCTGCCAACACTTAAAGCAAAAATAGATGTTATCCTATCTGCCAAAGCTATGCACCATCCTCAGAAGGGGAATGTTTGCTTCAGAGCTGATTGCTTTTTTCTGAGGAACAGTTAGTTAGGAAAAATAAGAAGAAAGAGTAAAGACAAGTCACAGTATATCCCAGAGTAAATATGACCAGACAAGTGCTTTCTTCAGTGAAACGTTGCCTCACTCTTTCGGCAGCTGGTTCCCAGCCCCTACATGAATGTTCGCAGCGACGGCAGCCTGCACCTCGAAAGAGTCCGGCTGCAGGACGGGGGGGACTACACCTGCATGGCCAGCAACGTGGCGGGGACGAACAACAGGACTGTCACTGTTAACGTGTACGGTAAGCGGCACTGTCCCCTTTCTTTGGTGCCCGTTTCAAGATGAGAATGCATTTCTTACCATTAGTAGTTCTGGCTAGAGCTTCTTCTTTAAAGTTACACTGTTTCCTCAAATTTCCTCTTTGCACTGATGATACTTTGTGAAGAGATGTGGAGAGAATCAGGGTCCAACACACAGGAACCCTCTGCGATTGAGACTGATTTTAAAATTTTTAGAAAAGTGAACACAATTTAGTGGTCTTGAAAAATCTTCCCTTTTAGGCGTCTGCAAAGGTTGCGCTTTGCAGACTTTGTCTCTAATTTTGTTAACAAAACAGGCACAAGTGGGAGTTTGTTGGAAAGCCCTGCCAAGTGCTGTCAGAGGGATTTCATAACTGATAAAAGGAAGCACAGCTCATGGGAGTATTGCACTTAAAATAAATTATGAGTTTGGCAAAACTCCTTTTTTTAACAATATCCAAAATTACACTGACAGCAAGACAAGTGTGAGCATTGTGGTAAACCATCTGTATTTCAGCTGTGGATACTTGTGTTAACTGTGTGGGGGATCACAGCCACTTCATTGTTTACAGCCTGAAATTTTCTCATGTGTCAAATTAATCATGGGAGGCTTATTTTAAGCTTCACATGAGATGTTGGAACACCTCTTTATGTTAAAATAGCTCATTTTTATTATGCTAGTACTCAGTCTCTGATAGTCTTTAGTGAATAGTAGTTTGGGAATTTTTCAGAACTTGAGCACAGAAATCTATCTGTGTATAGAAAATCTCTCTCTTAGGTGTAGGATATATGGTTGTTTTACTGAGAGCTTTTTTCTGTCTGTTATTAATTCAAACCTAGTTTGGGTAGACAGTGGAACTGAAGTTCTTGTTATCTTGTTTGTGATGTTGTGAAATGATTTGGTCAGCTAGGTGAAATATCTACAGCCAACTTAAAACTGCATGTACCTAACACAGTGATTCCACCATGGCTGACATATCTTGTAATGAGCAGGCAGCTAGATTTAAAGGAAGATCGAATAGTGGAAGAGAAAGCATTTGATCAGTGTCAATTTTGGACTTCAAAGACAGAAAATTTCCCATCACGACTGTCTGTTAGTAGTAGTAGTAAAGTATGTAGACTTTATATTAAGAGATGTACCATAGTTTGAAATCTGTCTTTTGCCTGCGCTTAATATATGTATTTGTTTTTAGTTCTGCCTGTTATTCAGCATGGACAGCAGATATTCAGTACCATTGAAGGAATCCCGGTCACACTGCCGTGCAAAGCCAGTGGAGTTCCTAAGCCGTCTATACTCTGGTCCAAGGTAACTTCTCATCTTCAAGCTGTTCATGGTGAAAGATGAAATGAGCACATCATTTAGCTATAATAAAAACTACATGCAAGAAAGGCAGCCAAAACCTTTGTCGTAAGGGACCTGGAAATCTCTGTTTCTTCACATCTGCTTTTGTTTCTTAGAGCAATTCTTTCTGACCATGGTCCAGCTGTACATCAAGGGTCTATTCTTGGGAGAAGCTTTGCTGTATTTTTCTATATAGAAATACTTAATATTCTTGTTGTGAGTTGGTAACTTGAGATTTGAAACCCGCTGCAGATTGAAAGTTCACTTTTGTTTTGGAAGTTTTCTTTAATGTGACTTTTTTCCTCCAAGGAAACCACTTACAAAAACTGCACTGTGGAGCTAGCTGTTAGTCATGCAAATGTAACTGATTAGGACCTTACCTTACAAACAATTTTGTTTAAAAGCAAGGACAGAACCCAGCAAATGGCTTGATTAGGCAGAAAATAAAACACAGTAGGAATAAGATGCAGTGAGTGGTTATCTTTCTACTTATCAAATCCAGCTTCCTGTAACACAAGGAAGAATCTGCTGACAGAAACGTGTTATACAAAGTCTGTTTGCACAGCAGAAATGCAGTTGATTCACAAAATTGATTCACTTAAAAACTTGGATTTTTTAAAAGAATTATAGTCTGTAAAATACGGATTTTTTATGCTTGAGTACCTGTTCTTCTACCCTTTATTCTACTAGAAAATGAGGATAAAAGAGTGGTAAGTTGGCCAAAGTTGTTAATTTATAGGGACAGAATTTGGGGGTCAGACCTCTTAGTTCAAAATATTTTTTTTTATCCCAGCTATAAACAACAGTATTGTAATATAAGTTAGAATATTGCTCAATTTAGTCAGTCTGTCTGCTAGTTATTTGGTCTGCAAAACTGCATAAAGCATATTGCACAGTGAAAAATCTGGCCCTGTGTGATATTAAAAATGCTGCTGTTTTCATCTGAAAGGGCCACAACAGTGAGTTAAATTAGGGGAGCTACTCCAAGGGCTGACAGTTTAACCCTTTAACAGGGTTTTTTCTTTAGATTTTATTTTCTCTCTGTAAACTTTAACTTTCATTGAATTAAAAGCTTATAATATATTTTAGTTTAGAAAATTCATGCATTGAGGGTTTTGTTTTGTTTTTTTGTTTCCACAGAAAGGAGAACAAATTCTTGCCAGCGACATGAGATTTTCTGCAGGGTCAGATGGCAGCCTCTATGTAGCTTCACCTGGGGGTGAAGAGGCTGGGGAGTACGTGTGCACCGCAACAAATGCTGCTGGTTTCGCTACACGGAAGGTCCAGCTCACTGTCTATGGTATGTATAAGTTAAAGCCAAATATAGCATCATTGTTCCCCCCTTCTGACAATTTAGCTCTGATTTAGGCTGCACAACTGGCTCAGGTGAATGTTCTGGAGTAGGAGTGCAAAGAGGATTTAAGCTAATCTAGAATTAGTGCTTTTGACTTTGACTCCAGTGATCTGCTGCCTACGAGGTAGTTTTACAAAGTGCTAAGATTAAAAGCCCTATTTTTCAACCATTATGATTCCCTTAAAACCTCCTGGTACCTGTTGCCATCTACTTTTGGACTAGGGAATTTGGGCATTTCATAGTTTTATCTTGTATGGCAGTGGTTAGGAAGCAGCACCTGTACAGAAACGGAAGTTCCTGCTCTTAAAAGAGTAGCGTGAAGATGCCTTAGTCCCATCCTTCTCAAATCTTCCTACAATCTCCCAGTATTATCAAAAATCTGGTTTAGATGAAAGTTTGGGCTTGTTGCACAAGGCTATTGGCACTGCAGTACTGGTTGCAACTGACCTGTGTAGCACAGAGCTCAGCCTGTGTGGACTGCAGGCATTGACAAATTAGGCAACTTCTTGGGCAGAAGATGCAGCTTGCTCACATTTGTACTAGAGCTAGTTAGCTTGGGCAAATCAGCATCATGGTGATTCACAATGGCCAGTCTAATGCAGACATCATTAGAAATAAGATTGTAATGCTATATATCTGATACAAAAAGCAGATGTTTAATCTGAAGTAAAATTGTGTGATATTAATTTTGTACGTTCATATGTATTCACTGCAGTTTCTTAACATGTTCCATGCTATAGTGAAACCTAGAGTATCCAGACCTGGAGACCAACAAGGAAATGCCTATGATAAACCCATAGAGATCTCAGTAATTGCAGGAGAAGATGTGACACTTCCTTGTGAAGTAAAGAGCTTGCCACCCCCTATAATTACGTGGGCCAAAGAAACGCAGCTCATATCGCCATTCTCTCCAAGGTAATGAGATTTGATAAAAAAAAAAAAAAATGAATTGCTTCGAATCTTTCAAGGTTTTGGAAGAATGTACAATTTTTAATTGCCTCATAATCAATCAGAAGGTACAAAGTTATACTTTTCTTTCGTAAGGCCCTGTTTCATTACGTCTTGAAATTCTTTTCCCACACTGAGCAGGTGTCGCTTTTGGAGAGATGCTGAAGCTATGTATCCCAGTAGAGACTCCATTCCACTAAGTGTTTATAAGCAAAGACAGAACTTCAAAATTCAGTCTGAGTTAATAACCTCACAAGGCCAAAGTCAAAGAAGATCCCATTATAATTATGCTGCTGTGATATCCTAAGATCCACATAATCTGTGTCTGATTTAAAATCTTTAAAAATGTATCTTTCTTAAGCACTTCATATTTATGCCCAAGGGAGAGTAGTCTATTTTTCATATGAGGTATGCTCTGCCAGTAGAATATACAGATGATGATAAATGTTGGTGAGTGCTTACAAGGGCTCCTATATTGCTGTGTTTTGGATCCAGAAACTCTCCAGGCATTCATGAAAATATGAAAACATAGTTAAATGCTTATTAAAATGTTGAGCTGACAGCTTTGGAAACTGAAGAGTTGGGAACAGGCTTGTCTTGTCTCCAGGGTGGACCATGGTATTTGAGTCTTTCCTTATTATTTTGGTGTGGTGCAGAATAGGAGGTGAAAGGAAAAGAGGAGAAGACTAGGTGATTCTGCCTCCCCGTGTCTCCAACTAAAGTGCCAGGCACTGTCACAGAGCCTGCTAATGCCTTCTAGTCTCCAGCCTCCCTAAGAAGAGGTAAAGGCCATGGCTTTATTCCTAAACCAGGAAACCGCAATCTAGACATTCCTGTGCCAGCTGTCTAGTGTCCCTCAGCAATTCCAGTGCGATGGTGAGGAATCACAGACCTCAAAGTGAGCCTGTTGCCTTTGTAGAAAAGTTATCTACCTATCTACTATAGGTAGTTATCTACCTATTCCGTGATTTGCGACAGCACTGGCAAGTGATATTTGGGTGTGCCAGCATTTATTTTATGATGAAGGGTCTAGTGTGCAGAAAGCTAATTTGTTGGCAGTGTTTCGTGAGGATGTTTCTGCTGTGTTCTGTGACCACATCTCATGCACTAATGAACCAGCATTCTTGATCCATTACTTGTCCTTATTTTACCTCATGAGACATAGATAAATTAGGCTACTTGCTCATGGCTGTTGTGGGAGGGGTCCAAGAAGTCCAGTTCAGCCCATTCCAAGATTGTTTACAGATGTCAGTAAAAGTTAAAGAATTAGTCCAAACAAAACTTCTTGAGACCACCCAAAGACAATGTTAGAAATGGGACCAGTAAACAAAAGAGTGAAGTCAGAAATGAAGGACTTTTGTCAGGAAGTAAATCTAATAAGTGGACTGCATAATGTCAGGCAAGCTCCTCCAGCCATCATGTCTTCTGGGGCATGCTTTAAAAAAATATATATATAAGATATGGGCAGCAGAGGAGGAATCATGATATCACACAAATATGGGTGGCCTGAAAGAAATGAACTTCACTTCCTTGCCATTCATCTCTCCAAGCTGTTGTAATTCCCACATTCACCATTTATACCAAATATGCAGACAGAATCTTGATTAGAGAGTGCTAGGGAAAGGAAGACAAGTGACAGCACCAATTCCCGCCAACTTTGTCTAAACTGAAGATAACATCGAGTCCAAGACTTGAGTTTCTAGTTGTGAAACCAAGTCATAAATGTATGTACCTCATTTTGTTTCTTTCCTGACTAAATCTTGTTACATAGATCTTATATTTTTGGTATTTGCTCAGTGTTCTGAAGGTACTGGTTCAGTAAAGAATTAAAAAAATGAGTAAGTATAAGTCATAGTTTAATAATGAAGCATGATGCAGTGTACCGTGCAGAAAGGTATCATTTGAGTTTATGACAATCATTAGTAATGTGTAAGTAGAGATCATTCCACTTTCAACAAATATTTATTCAGTGTTATCTGCTGCTTACTTTTCCAGACACACTTTCCTACCCTCAGGGTCAATGAAGATCAGTGAGACACAAGTTTCAGACAGTGGAATGTATATCTGCATAGCCACAAATATTGCTGGGAATGTGAGTCAGTCAGTGAAGCTAAATGTACATGGTAAGGTTTAACTCGGATAATCATCTGCAAGACTCCGCTTGGAATTTAGTGTCTTTTCATGCAGAACATTTTTGTTATGTACATTTCAATGCCTTTGACCTGTATTCTTTCAGGTCATCTCATCTTCTTATGCAAATTGTTGTTATTGCTTATCTGAAAAGGAAATAATGCATATATGTGTGTGTGTATCTATCTGTCTTCCTTTAATGTTGTTCAGAGTCATGTAGGAAATACAGCACTATATGACATCTGATTTTTCCTAAACCGTACGAATTTTGAGAGCTGAAAATCAAAGTTATCTAAGGCTTGTAGATGCTGAGTTCTTACTGATCTGATGAGAGTTAGATATCCAAACTATTGATAAAGGCTGTCCCAAGTGTTCTTGTACATCATAAGTGGTGGTAGTGAGGCCAGTGTGCAACATCATCACTTGTGGATGGGCACTTGCTCCTGTCTTTCTACTGAGCTGTATGCCTATAGATTTTTCTGTGCCTATGCAAACCAATACCTTAGCCGTCTTCTTATTGCCCTTCCTCTCCTGAGCCCAACATGATGTTCTTGTGCCCAGTGTTCCTACCCCACAATGAATATGTCTGATCTCCCGTGCACAAGCTAGGACCTATCTTGCTCTGCTCACCTTTTGCCATAGATGGTCACGCTCTCATGATGAGGCTGATCAGTAGTAGCTGCACATGGTTCTTCCGTGGCTCGTGTAGAGGCTGAGGAAGCCAGTGCCCGTTGCCAACATATGGCTTTGAAGTGGATCACATACCATGCACGTACCAGATTGGAACTCCTGCCCAAGCAGCTCTGAAAACTTCAGACGATGCTAATTCAATTACAATGGCTCTGGCCGACTGCTGTCTAGCTCTGTGTATAGAGAGATGCAGTATCAGTGCACATCTTTGTTTATCTATACTTGTACATTAGCAGAGAGTCTGGAAAAATGGCACTTGTTATTGTTTCAGACATTCTTTTTAAGTCTTTTTATTGTCGCTGATCCCAAGAAATAAAAACATTGTAGCCAAAGAGTTATGTCAGATTTATATTATTCTTTGGGACCAGCAGAATCTCTTCTAGCCATACTTTATTTTCTTGTCTGAACTCGTGTTTGGAAGCACACAAAGATGAGGGATTAGGGGGAAGGAAATTAAAATGTCAGAGGGAAAATGTGGTTAACTTTATCATAAAAGCTTTTGAATTGTTTTGTGTTGTGAACCGCCTGTATCCATAGCTCCTTTTGGATATGCTCAGTGGAATAAGAGTATGCTACTTTTAGGGAAGTAAATGCAATAGAATTGGAAACCTAGTCTGTCCAGGTATGTTGAGCAATAGGGAATTGTGCTTCCAGTCGGTAGAGAGCACACACCTCTGCTTCCTTAGTCACTTGTGGGAATTCAGCTCCGTTGACATCTCCTAAAATGACAAAACCTGACAAGTATTTTCTTCAAGAATGATCTTGCACTTTTTAAAAAAAAAAATTACTGTGAACTTCCTTGTGTTGTTTAGTTCCTCCGAAGATACAGCGCGGGCCTCGAGTTCTGAAAGCACGTGTTGGCCACAGCGTGGACATTCCCTGCCGAGCCCAGGGGATCCCTCCTCCCACAGTCACTTGGTTCAAAGGCGGAAGCACCGTGCTCATGGGTGGTGGCCAGCTTATTCACAGCCTGGATGGAGTGCTAAGCATCAGCAACGTCCAGCTCCCGCATGCTGGAATCTACGAGTGCGTCGCTAGCAACGTAGCGGGCAGCGACACATCAGAGATAACGCTGCAAGTTCAAGGTATTTCAGCTGGCCTCCTGCCATGGCTAAATATAATTTCATGTCCGCTTTATTTTTTGGAGGACAATATTATTTGCTGTTTTAACTGATATGTGGTACAAAATTCAAATGTTTCAATGTTTAGATGCTGTATTTTAATGTCAATTAAAGAAAATTAAAATAAGCAAAAGATCAGAAGGCAAGACACTTTTTTGGATCTAATTTTCTTTCAGAACCTCCTACTATAGATGATCTTGACCCTTCATACAATAGTCCATTTCAGGAACGAGTGGCAAATCAACGTGTTGCTTTCCCTTGCCCAGCAAAAGGTGTGCATCGTTATTACTGTGCTAAGTTTATCTGTACTGCCTGTCGCTGTAAAAATGTGCATTTTTTTCCTAGATGTGCATTTTTTTTTCCTAGTCTATGCTAAAAATTGAAATTATTAATGATTGAAATAACCACTAAATGTAGATAGTATTGAATTTTCAGAAGTCATCTCTTCAGAAAAGAATGACTTTTCTGTAAAAAGCCGTTGCTTGCCATCAAGGGCATTAAGATGTTTAGGGACTTCCTGTAAATCTGAAGGCCCTTTGCCTCTGTATGGTTTGTCTTTACCAGTAAGATTTTCAGCAAGTAATGGGAATCCTCCTAATTCTTAGCTTAGTAAAGAATTTCTTGCCAATTCACCTTTTTCTTGTTAGGTATTCCAAAGCCTGTCATCAAATGGCTACGTAATGGCAGAGAGCTGACAGGCAGCGAACCAGGGATTTCAGTTCTGGAGGATGGAACTCTGTTGATCTTAGCTGCTGTTACACCTTCTGATGGTGGGGAATATATCTGTATGGCAGCCAATGAAGCTGGAAGTACAGAAAGAAAATATAACCTGAAAGTTCATGGTAAGTGGTAAAACTAGTCTTTCCTTTATTCTCTGTATAACTTCTATTATTTCTATTCATGGTAACTTTATATGCAGACCATATTTGTTTTGCTCAGATAACTAGGTGAGTCTTATTTGTCAAGTGTTATATTTAAACTTGATGACTTTGACAGAAATAGCAATGAAGGCTTTTGTACTGATGAAGTTAAAAACTGGAGGATAGATCCATATTTCAAGTATAAATGTGATACCCAGGCAGTATTATAGCTCTGTCTTTTATCCAAGAAAAACAGGAATTCCATCATGTGCCTGCAGGGCTTGTCAGTGAGGCTGGAACTTTTTCGTCCGCCACATAAGGCCATTTTCCATGCATTCAATGTGGGAGATATGGTAGACAGATCTTCCTGGAGAAACAAAGAAATTAATCTCTGGAATCCAATTCCTTTATGTAATAAGCAGATAACACGGGATTATAAATTACTCTCTTGAAATATTGATGATGGTTGTGTTTTAAGTAATTTTATCTATCAGTTTGTTACTTGGGCAATAGAAGAGTCTGTTCTTTGAGGAGAAGAAAGAGGGGAGGTATGTCCAGAGTAGAGCAGGAACATCTAGGGGTAGCTGAAATGGGTCAGGGAAATTTTGATGACAGAGATTCTTCACTGGGAGGAAAGGAAAAAGTGGGAAATCACTGGAATAGAAAACCTCATGGATTACTTCAAACTTTCTTGCAGTTCCCCCTGAAATTAGGGACCAAGAAACAGTGACAAATACATCTGTAGTTGTTCAGCATCCTTTAAGTCTCTTGTGTGAAGTGTCTGGTAACCCCTTCCCAATAATCTCCTGGTATAAAGAAGATATTCAGGTATGTGCAGTTAACCTAAGTGAAGTAACATAATCAGCAATTCCAGCTTTTTTATTAACTGTTATGGATTAACTTCACTACTGAGTGCTTGACGTGAGAGCTCATTTAAAGTAAATATATGCTTTAATGTATATTTAAACTGCACTAAGAACACCCACACAGTGAGCTAGCTAAATATGGCTGATTTATAGTGGATATCTTGCAGAAGTTTTTGAGATTAGTGCTGTGACTGAATAGGAAAATGGATTACCCCTTAGAATAAAACTACCATTTTCTTATTAAAAAAACAGCTGTGATATTTGGCTGATGTAACTTGGATCACATAAGGCTAATCTCTTGGGTTCTTTTAAGGTTGTGGAAAGCAGTGCTCTCCAGATTTTGCACAACGGGAAGATACTGAAGCTCCTTAAAGCTGCTACTGATGATGCCGGACAATATTCATGCAAAGCTGTAAATGTAGCAGGAAGTTCTGAGAAAATGTTTAATGTAGATGTACTAGGTTAGTACTGTATTTTTTTTAAGATGGTGATCTGAAAAATAATTGATACTTAAGACACCGTTATGTTTCAGCTTAATATAATTTTTTTTCTCTCGCTGTCCATTGAATGGTGATTGTTGTCTTCACAACGGCTCTTAAATACTTAACATTTGCCATTTTGATAATAACAAAGAGTTATTTTTCATTTCTGGATTTGGATCTTTGATACTTTGTTTTATATTTTGGGAGTACAGTACCAACATAGATGAGAAGCTAGAAGGAATCTTCTGCAATAGTCACCAGCACCAGTGTTAGTGCTTGTTGCAGTAGAAATGTTTTGGACTAGCAGGACTCCGTAGAGAAGACTGAAATTGCTTTTCTTCCTGTTTCATAGCATATCTTCCCTCTTTAAATTCCAGTTCTTATTGTAACATTTGTCTTTTTAAAGTTCCGCCAAGTATAATAGGTGCTGCTACAGCCAGTGAAATTGCAGTCATTCTCAACCACGAAATCACTCTGGAGTGCAGAGCCAAAGGCTTCCCCTTTCCTGACATTCTCTGGTTCAAAGATGGCAAGTAAGTTGTTGCTGCTGTGCTCAATGTCTGGATTATTCCTCCTTAAGAGCAGAAAAGAAACAGATGTGTTGCTTTAGCAAGCTGTTATTGCAACCATTCTCGGTGTTAAGTTATTGTCATCAGACAAAATTTGTGGTAGGGCGATGTGGTAGAGTCCTTTGGTCAAAAGTTAGCATCCCACTTTTCTCTGTGAGTTGTCACATTAGTCACACTGGCACTTGCAGAGCAGCTTTACAGTATTTGAAATCAGACAGTGTCTAAATGAAGACAAACACATAACCGTTTTTTGAGTTCTTTACATGTAGGTTATTTTATATTTATTATTAGTTAAAATACAGATGTTCTGCTGACATTTTTTTTCACAGGTAGACAGTACCCATGTCAAATATTTTTCTAGCTAGTGCCTTGTACAATTCTTTATATATACACTTAAGATTTTAAAAACATTTTTACCATGCATATTTCAATTCTTCATGCCATCTTTTCAGGAAAGCATACAAAGAAAAGAATTTTGGCAGCTTATGTTATTAGCCTTAGAAACGAAATGGGCTGTAAATACTTCAAAAAATAGCATTGGTGTTTAGTAATGCAATTCAGTTTTGATATTGGCTAATATACCCAGGTATCTGTATATGACAATTGCTTATTCTTTAGTTGAGAGTTTGACAGTCTTACCTTGTATACGTAGACATTTTGATGTCAGCAAATGCTGTCATGACCTAGTAATTAGAAAAGGGAACTGACAGCAAAAATAGGACTATATTTCTGCCATTGGCATCCTTGTTCATCTGAGTCAAATAACTTTGTCCTGTGCTTTCTTCTGCAAATGGGGAATACTGTCTTCTAATAGCTTGTCACCTTAGTGTGGTTCTTCCCATGAATAGTTCTGTTCTGGTGACCTTTAATACAATTACTGACATTTAAGTAGCCTTTGCTATTATTGTCAGTTTAAATTGATGTTGAAAGGAAGGGGTCAGAGTTCCGTGAAGTGAAATAATCTCTATTCCAGGCCCTTGTTCTTGGGTGATCCCAACGTTGAGCTTCTGGACAAAGGTCAAGTTCTGCACATAAAGAGCGCTCGAAGGATTGACAAAGGTCGGTATCAGTGCAGTGCCACCAACAGTGCCGGCAAGCAAGTTAAGGAGGTCAAGCTCATCATCCATGGTAAGTCTATAGCATTCCTGATCCTGGAATATCTTTCTGATTTGCCCTTTAAAAATAGGCTTACTTTTTCAAGGGAGGTGCTCAGATAAATATAAATTAAGACTGATCTTGCAAAATTTGTGTGTAGACCTAACTTCATCTGTCAACATCATGGTAATTTGAGCATCTGTGTGTGTCACATTCAGCATGGGTGTAGTCTGAATCTTTGCAAGTTCAGCATTTGAATGACTTTTGTGTCTCTTCTTTATTGGTTTCTAATTGCTGGAAACCAAAAAAGTTTCATGATTTTGTTATTAATTGGTTTCAAGTGAATTGTTTTATTATCAAGTTGACTTGATTCTGTTTTAGAGAAAGTGAATTAAAACAGTTTTAATACAGCCATGGTCTTATTTTCCTTTATGCTAGCGTTAGGAGTAGATTCATGAAGCAATAGGTTAAAGTTAGTAGACTTAGACCAGTGCAAAGCCAGTAAAAATCAGACTTAAGTAATCTTTGAAAAAGGTATGTCCCAAATGATCTGAAGGTTCTGTGGTGTGTTTGCTTGCCTAACTTGGTGTACAACAAGGACATTTTGCAGCAAACAAGCATGAATATGGGTATCTATAATAACAGTATTCTTTTTGGCAAAGTTTACAGCACACTAAATGTACTTTTCATGTTTTTGCAAGCACCAGAGAGATGCTGAACACAGGCAACTGCTGTGATTAGTGTAGATAAGTTTAAGGCAAAGGAAAAGCCTAGAAAGGAGGTTAAAAAGGAGGAGGAAGATTCATGGAAGAAGGAAGGAGCTTTTGCAGGGGGACTTTTAAAGGAGAGAAGAGTTTTGCAGTAGGGAAGACAATGAGTGTGCGGAGGCCTGGTCTAATCTGGAAACTATGAGCACACGGTGCTAGCAGAAATAAGAGAGAAATAAGCAGAAATCTGCAGGTGGAATAAGACAATTGGACCTAGCGCGTGAACTGTGGGAATCTGAAACCATGGGTACACAGGCTAACAAAGCCTCATTTGTCGTGGATTTGCTTCGGAAGGGTCTTTAGCTGTGACAGCTGTGGCCTTGTGCCGCGTTATATTCCTCATGTGGGACGTTACTGTGAACTATCTCAGTCAATCAGAGATGTGAGATTTAGAGGAATTAAAAAAGCACAAAGCAAATGCCCCAAATCCAGAGTAGACCATACGAGCCTAGATGTGAATTGGTGATAGTGGAATGGGGTATCTCATTACTTTTAAATGCCTGACCCCTAGCCAGACAAACAGAAGCCCAGAGAATGAGTGGGGAACATGGATGCTGATTCTCACTTGTTCTTGTGTTTTCCTCTTTACTCTTACTTTTGGCTTCCATATTTTCGCAGAAGAATATGCTAAAATTGTTCCCCATCTCTGTGGACAAAAGCATTTGTTGAGAGACACAAGTATTTGCATTTAAACCAGGGAAATCTCAGCATATTGTGTGCATTTGCATACACAAATTATTTAATAAGGAAAAGAGTTCAGCATGTTTTGATAATCTGTAAGACCCATCCCTTAGGTGTGGATCCCTGCACTGCCACCTCTTTCTGTGTCGGTGTTGACATTTTCAATGAACATTTTGTGGAAGTCGGTGGAAGAGTTGGATATACTGTGCATGTTTGGTACATGCAGAGGGGAGTTAATGTGTCTGCCAGATGTGTCTGGTACCTTCAGCGGCTGTAAATTTAGCTGTTACCAATTGCAGTGTGTTTTTATTACTTCTGCAGAGATTTACGAACTCTTTATATTGGCTGATTTACACGAATGCTTGTTTGCTAGAAAAAAAAAATCTGAGCACTGCTGCCTAGCGAATAAGGGAAATGACTGTGAGCCAAAAGTTTCAAAAATAGGAGTATAAAGCTAGACTGCTAAGCTCATATTTAGTCTCAAAGTAAGTGACTTCATCTTCAGAAGTTGTGAGTACCCAACAGTTCCCATCCAGTCAAGAGGCTCTTGGATGCATTTGATATTTCAAATAGCAGATTATTGATCCTGGTTTCCTGGTCAGAAAAAGAGTGACCCTAGACCCTAGAGTGACTAGAGAGTGTAGGGCCTGCTCCTCCTTCACCCATCAGAGATAGGGAAGAGGCAGAGATGTACCCAGAGGTGTTCTAGGAAGTGCTTCAGGGCTAGTTGGCCTACCACATTGTAATCCTAGAAGGTAAAAGTTTTCCAGGTACCTGCAGTGAAGCTGCACTGCTCTGCACTGCTTTCTTGTGGCAGTTACTTCTTAGAGCCCTTTCATGCTGTGTTCTCGTGCTGCCTTCACCTCTCAGTATGCTCTGGGGAATTGTACAGCCACTATATAACTAAACAATAAATCTTCTGTTCTTAAGACTTTCTAATATTTAACCATTTTAAACTGCACAGACTTGTATCTTAAGGTTTTAATGCTTTTATTGTCTTCTGAAATAGTCCCACCTAGCATTAAAGGAGGAAATCTTACTACAGAGGTGTCAACTCTTCTTGACAACCTTATAAATCTGGAGTGTGAAACGAAGGGAACCCCAGTTCCTACCATTACATGGTACAAAGACGGACACCCAATTATTTCCAGTCCCCAAGCTCAGTATGTGGACAGAGGGCAAATCCTGCAGATACCTCGGGCTCAAGTTTCCGACTCTGCGATGTACACTTGCCGGGTCACGAATGCTGTGGGAACTGCTGAAAAGATCTATGAAGTGGATGTCTATGGTAAGTGAGAGTTTACTGAGCCTGATTATTTGTCATCTTCCTAGAAGTGTTTCCTGAAGATTTTTCTCCCTTAATAATATAATCAGGTTTGCAAAGACTGCCTTGAAAAACTGGCCTGCACTAGCAAACAGAGCTTTAGATCTGTGTTTTATACTGTGTTTTATTTTTGAGACAACACCTAAAAAGCTCATGACTTCTTGATATCATGTTTTAGTGAAGTATAAAACTATTTCTCCCCTAAAAGCTATTTTCTCCTTGTATCCCTCTCCTTCTCATGCATGAAAAAATCCCACGTTTGTCTGAAATAACCCCTATGGGTGGGGTTGTGCTTTAACACCTCCAGTTTTAGTTTTCCCATCTCAAAACCCTGCAGATGCTCTGTTTCACAGCACTATTAAACAGTCGGCTACAGCATTTGAATTTTCTGGTTTCCCTTCATCTTGGCTTGCCCCCTGGCAGCGCATTCTCACATGAAATTGTACGTGACGTAATGGCGTGTCGAGCCAAAGCGGGTTGGAAGAACTAACCTGTTTTCTGGCTGCAGAATTAATTACTTGCAATATATTTTTTCCTTTCTATAGTTCCTCCAGTAATCGAGGGCGATGCTGACACAGTGCAGAGCAGGCAGGTGGTTGCTGGCGATTCCGTAACGCTGGAATGTAAAGCTGAGGGCAACCCACCGCCGCTGCTTACCTGGCTGAAGGACGGGGTGCCGGTGAGGGCCAGCGCCAGCCTCCGCATCCTCTCCGGCGGGAAGCAGCTGGAGATCCCGAACACAGCTGAGGCCGACAGGGGCCAGTATGTGTGCGTGGCTACAAGCATAGCTGGAGAGCAAGAAATGAAGTACGAAGTTGAAGTCTTAGGTGTGTGGAGCAACAGAACTACTGTTTTACTTGATTCACATAAATTGAATGTTTCTCATTTTGTTGGTATCATTGTAACAGTCATGTTGCATATTTAGTTAAAATGCCGCTTCTGATGCTTAAACATTTCTGTTGCTGTTTTTTTTTTTTTTCCCTATAGTCTCACCATTTGTGGAAGGTGGAGGCGAGCTCTCAGACTACATTGTGATTCTCCATAGCCCTTTAGAGTTGGATTGTGTAGCAACAGGGACACCCTCACCAACTATCATGTAAGGGAATTGTATTCCAGCTAAAAAGAAAACAAATCTACTGATTTTTTTATATGCTCTCCTTGCTACTTAGTTATGGTTAATAGGTGGAGGATGAAATGCTGGCTCCCCTGAAGGCAGCGAAAGGCATGTGCATCACAGGATCAGGATTTCACTATGTTTTGTTTGGCCTGTTGTACCTAGGGATTAGAACAGACAAAAGGAAATGATGAAACACTTCTTCCCTTACTAGTGCAGCCATATCCTTTTCATCTGGCAGGAGTGATTGCTTTTATCTTGGAGACTTCTCTCTCTTTCATCTGGAGGCATTTATTCCCCCTGCTGCCTCCCAGCAGTCTCACTTTAGTGAGACTGCCTCCCACCTTTCTCACTTTAGTGTCTGTTCCCCTGTATTTCTTTTCCAAGATAACTGAGTGTGTGGCACTTAAAAATGCAGAATGCTAGCTAAGATATCCAAACCTTCCTAGAAATGCAAATATAGTTACCAAGACATACCGTTAAACAAAAATAGGCATGTTTAGGACTGCCTTTGGTATTGTGGTAATGAAAATCTGAGATTGTGCTCTCTCTTTGCTAGGTGGCTGAAGGATGGCCAGCCAGTTGAAGAGGGACCTGGACAGAAGATCTTGTTGAATGGGCACAGACTTCTCATCTCTCGAGCTCAAGTGTCAGACACTGGTCGCTATAAATGTGTGGCTGCAAATAAGGCTGGAGAACATGAAAGGGAATTTGATGTTACTGTGCATGGTACGATATTCAAGGGAGGAAAAGAGAAGCATACTGCTATTTTTTTTTTTAAATTGCTAGCAAAACAGTGCTCACATTTTTTGAAATGTTTGTTCTTTCTGGTGGTCAAAAAGGTTGGAGATGACAGTACGTTAGAATTCATCTTGTCTGATTTCCAGATTAGATTTCTTCTTGTCTGTGGTACATTACTAATATATATTTAAATATGCATTTTCAAATGATATTTCATTTTTGTTTATGGTGTTTCTTGCAGTTCCTCCAACCGTCAAATCAACAGGGCTCTCAGAGAGAGCTGTTGTGATATACAAGCCTGCAACACTGCAGTGCATAGCCAATGGCATTCCCAGCCCTTCCATAACTTGGTTAAAAGATGGGCAACCAGTAAACACAGCCAGAGGAAATATAAGAGTAAGTGCAACTCTTTTATGAGGTTCAAATCATGAAAAATGATTACAATAAGTTACATATAGACTGTTAAAATAAGTTACATATATTAGACTTCTCTTTTTTTTTGGTTCCTTTGTATTATGGTAGAAAGATGCTAAAGATCCATCCCGTAGAGTAATGGCTTTTTACCTGAATAGGATGGTGTCCCGGACTGAGTAGCATTTAGTAGACTGAATCCCATTAGACACCTCCATAGTAGCAGAGTTTGTGACTGGAAATTCAGCATCTGCTCTGCTCAGTTGTACCTTAATCTTCAAGGTGTTGTCATCTGCCAGTTGCCAGTCAGCTCTATCCACTTGTCTCTGTGAGGCGGGAGTAGGAGCACTTCTGTAAGTGCTGCCACTGTAGCACAAACGGAGACATTTCCCTCTCACTGTGAGCCTCTGGCTTTCACAGAGCAGCCCTTCCTGGTACCTGCCTGCTCCAAGGAGAAGGGTGCTTGTAATGGCTGTGATTTGCTTCAGGGTGGAGCAGTTCTTGCTGTCTTGCCCAGCGGCAACTCTCTCGACCTGCAGCATCCTTTTTGCCTTGCTTGCCTGTCCCTCTGCAGTTCAGCTCCCCTCTCAGCTGTACAGCTCATAGTTCTCACATCCGAAGAGCACTGAAGTCTCTGCGCTACCGGGACACCGCTTGCATGAATATTAACTGCAGGCTGGAGGATGAGGCTGGCTGTTTTCAGCATAAAGGTCTACCCACTGGGTAAAGTAGTTCCCTGCTCTCTGTTTTGGTACAGCTGGAGTCTTCAGGCCGTGTTCTGCAAGTTGTCAAGGCCCTGCTCGAAGATGCTGGCCGATACACTTGTGTGGCAACAAATGCTGCAGGAGAAGCCCAGCAGCACGTTCGGCTTCATGTGCATGGTAATGACATTTCTGTCTCTAATTAGAAGCAAAACGTGGCTGTTTTGAGGCAGCTTTTTTATTGTTCTTTGTTTCCTTTTGTCTGTGAAAAACGTGTTAGTCAGGCGTTTTTGTTAATCCTGCACTCCAGTCTTTCTTCTTTGTTTTTTTTTTTTTTGTCCCACTCACTAAGAAGTCAAGACAAAAACTATTTCCTCAGATTTTACTTTATTAATGTGGTACTAAGGGCCACAAAAGGAATGCATCTCTTCAGTTTTTTTGTTTAGACATATATCAAGAAGCCAAGCACATTTCCACTAAACCACCAGGACGCTCAGAACTGTATCCTGTTGCTGAATCAAGACATGATGTTCCACCATTGGCATTACCAACTGCAGCCAAGTCTTGTGGGGAAAACAGCATTCCACACATGAGCTTGTGTTGGGGAAGTTTTACAGGAATGTCTTTTCGGGGAAAGGAAGCATTCTCTTATGAAGGGATCTTTCAGACCGGGTAGAAGAAATTTTATTTTCCAGCTAAAAACAATACAAAAGGAATCAGAGAAATGTCAGAAGTTGTGTGAATTTGCTGTGTCAGAAGCATGTCAATTTGCTAAATGCTCTTGCCACGGTTTAAGACTATGTGCCTTAGAAGTGCAAAGTATTGTACATTATTGGTGTGATCCAACCTGAAAGGACACAAGAAGTGATGGAATGGACTGTGGCAAAATACTTCTAATGATGGTAATGGCTCTTATTCTCAGACAGGATCAGTAGCTGGAAAATGTGAAACTGAAAGGAAAAAAGTTTTCACTTTCTCCCTCCATGAGGCTCAGAAAGAGAAACCTCATTCCTCTTGCACTATAACTGCGTCATAATTAATGTTAGTGTCAGCTACACACTGCCTACTCATTTCTTTGACTCTCCATCTGCTTGTTCAGGGTGTTATATCTGGCATATATCTGATTATAATGTGTCATTTTGCAAATTTATAGAGATTAATAAAGTAAGATATCTTGCTTTCTAAAGCCCCTACTATGTTCAGCTTAATATTGCCAGCTCAAATGAGACAAGCTTGCTATATTAGAAAAAATGCTGTTCTATGTTGTGAAACATTCCTAAGACCATTTTTAAATTCCACTGTTCCAGGGAAAAAAAAGAAAAAAAATATTTAAGCACTACTTAGATTCCATAATTAGAGGACATTCAGCTTTCAAAGATGAGGTTCCTCAGAATTTCCTCAGTCATCGAACAGTTAGTTGAAGCTTGTGTAACTGATTGCCCAGATTTTCTCTGAGGGCAGATTACTTTTTGATGAGGGATTCTGCCAACTGAGTGGCTGAGTTAATTAAACCCTGATGCTTTTTCTCTTTTCCCAGAACCACCCAATCTGGAGGATGCAGGGAGAATGTTAAATGAAACAGTGGTGGTGAATAATCCCATCCAGCTTGAATGCACAGCATCTGGGAACCCGCTGCCAGGTATGTAACTGTGCCTTCGAGAATGTGCAGCAAGTGTGATAACAAGCTTTCAGTTTTATATGTCCTTTGAAAATAATTAATATTCTGAACCTGAAATTAATTTACCAATATTGAAGTGAGGTAGTAACTGCTAAACAGTATGTGTGATGGGAAATGTCAATGTATAGTGAGTGATGTGGAATAAGTATTGGGGAATTCAGTAATACGAATATTTCTGTTCAAATGAATGAATAACACAAGAATAAACTATTCCCTTAAAGCAGTGCTCTGCCCATAGGCAATAAAACTGTTAGATTTCTATTAAAGAAGGCCAAAACACATCTGCTCTTTCCACTCTGTTAGGTCAATATGGTGTAGTTTAGGGCAGACTTGCAAATTCTTGTGCATTGGGTGTGCAGGTTTGTCTCCTGTTAAGGCAGGTAGTTCTAAAACAGTCTGTATTTTAGTTACTTCATTGCTGGGATTCAGTTGTAGGAGTTTTGGATTAGGTGTTTCTTCATAGGTTTTTGTTTGGTTTGTTTATTTTAGATGTACAAGAGAAAAGATTTATTTCCTTTCACCAGATTGTTTCTGTGCTACTTATTGTCACAGAAAATCACGGGAAATACTGTGTGTCTAAGAGGATATACCTGGTGGCTTGTATCTAGAAGTTTTTATTCCTGTGCTATGGATAGCCCCTTTTTCAGAAGGAAGTTCAGATGACCATCTTGGTTCAAACATCTCTATCCTTAGGAATTGATTTTCCACAAAACGCTGTTTTCTAAAATCATTTCGATCTGTGTAAAACAAAATTTGAAATTACTGAAGATATAGGTAAAAAAAATCTTTTTTTTTTAAGATTTGGTATCCATTTTGCACCATTTTTCTTGTAATTTTTTCCTCCAACTTGGCAATTGTTGTGCTGCGAAAAAGGCTCAGTCCACAGCCTGTTGGCTGCATGTTGAAGTGATGCAAGGGAAGCAACAGTTACAGGCTCTGCTGCTGGAGGGTGCCATCTTTTGGCTGAGGTGCAAAGAAATTCTCAATTTTTGTTGCTTACTAAGTTTCTGTGATTTTTTCCTTTAGTGTAGTAACAGCTTTCAGTTTTTCAGCATTTCAATTGAGTTCTGTTTTGGTTGCATACGTTTCACCTCTAAACTTCTGCAGGTAGTTTGTATTTATATTGGTTTGTAATGCTGCCTAGATGTACCTGGAGACTCAGATGGAAAGTTTGAAGCATATTAGCTGTTTATGGTGGGGATGCTTTGGCAATTTTTTCTCCCTCATGTTTCCTTATGCAGCTATCACATGGTACAAAGATGGTCGTCCCATCACGAGCGCTGCAAGTGCCACGTTGCTGCACAGGGGGCAGATTCTGCAGATTGAGGATGCTCAGATCTCCGACACTGGAATTTATAAGTGTGTGGCAGTCAACACAGCGGGAACTGCTGAGTTGTTTTATAGTCTTCAGGTTCATGGTAAGTATCATAAAACATATGAAAAACACCTATATGCCCACCTTTGCTCCTTTCTGATTCTATTACCTGCACTTAGCAGACCCCCCATCATCATTCCTCCTCCCACCATACTGAAAGAGATGTGGCAGGAATGGTGGAGAAAGTTCTCTCTTTTGCTGTTAACCACTGTGAGAATCCATGGTTTGAAACAGGGGAATGTGGTAAAGGTTGTCACCGCCTGGATGAACAAGCAGAGGCACCAGGTTTTTGGCAAGGGTATTTAGAGGCACCATAAGTACCTTTTTCCGACTTTGTGGAAAAAGGTACTTATGTTGGCATGGTCTTGGAACTGCTGTGTTTAGCTCTGATGGCCTTGAAGCCAACAGCAGATAAAGAAAGGAAACAGCCCAAATACTCATTCATAATCCAGGAAATCTACAGAAAAATGTACTTTGTCTAATGAGGTGAAGTGGAAATGTGGGTGTTTGCAGACAGGAGACATCTGGTCAAAAGCCAAATTGCAGCCTTCTCACTGATTGCACTGGATTTTGGATCTGCCCCTCTTCCAAATGCTTTTCTTTGATATGTGTCTATTCCTGCATCTGGTTTTCTGGGGAGCCTTCCATGCAAAACTATAGGCCAGGTTTGGCACAGTGTCCCTAGCTGAGGTGCATGCACAGTATATTGTTCCTATTGATGTTCATTAACGAATAGTGAGTTGGGCTAGTTGGCCCATTTCCTTGGGATTAGTGACCATGTTTTGAAAAAATCAAGAAGTGGCTGAATGCCATTGACCCCACCCAGCCATTCATTCCCAGCAAATGCTTACAGCCAAGGTCAGCATTCTGGTTAAACATAAGAGTGAAAAATAACTTTTAAGCATATGTTTGTGTCTCCATGGGCAACAGAATTCTAGCAGATATGTCCAGGGTGTCCTAGGGAGTTAATACTCTCTGTCTTAGGGCACACAAAATTTGGTTGCCTCTCCAAAACAGATTCTGTGCAGTTGTAGCAAGTACCAAATTGCATCAAGGGCAGCTGAGACACCACCCTGTCTACCTACATAACTCCGCTTGTCTTGCACAGGCCTTACAAAGGATTATGCTTTGTATTTATGCAGGAGAAAGCTTAGCATCCAGTTTATTTGGTGATTGAGACACCTTGATTTTTTCTACTAATAACAGAAGGAAGAGTGATCACTGAAAAGAGAGTAGACTCTGAAGTATTTCACACTGGGGATACAAACCTATGAACCTGCTCAGCTGCAGAAAACTACACTGCATTTACTGAACACCTGCTCTAGATTTGTGTATGGCAGACAGTCTTGTAAATGAGCGTTCCTCGTGGTCCATTGCTGGTTGTACTCAACAACGTGTGTTGTTAATAGAGCGTGGTGTGTGTAGTATCCACGGCAGAAATTATCACATCATTTTTGCATTAATTGTTTAGAAAGAGCAATACTTGATGCTCCTGGCTTAACAATAAATGGAGTTGCAGCTCAATTTAAAGGAAGCAGTTTGCGTTCCAGTTTAGCATATTCACATATTCTCATTGTGCTCAGATTTTTTATACTACTTTCTCCCCTCAATATTTTTTTCAGACATGTAAGAATAATGGAAGCTATTGAAACGAAATGAGTAAAGTGTCTGTATATGTGTGTAAAGAAGATTATAAAATAACACTAGCTTTATTGACCACTCCTTCTGCTATTACTGTAATTTATCAAAGAATAGCAAGTCTGAGTTACATATTTTTAGAGGTTGCCAACTTTATTAATACATCTGTTTTCCAGTAAATACTTTTATACACTTTTTTCCATGTAGGAGAGGTATGAGTAGATCATACTGTTCTTCCCTTTTTGTAGGAGTGATTTGAGTATTAAGTTTTGTGACTGATACTGAAAACAAAGGTGTATTATTAAGCTGTACGTTATAAAGCAAACACAATTGTTTTGATTCTCTTGATAAGTGAAACACCTCCCTTTTTAGCACTTCTGCATTAAGATGCAAATGTGTGTGGAAAGCAGCCTTTGGACTTTGAAGCTTTTTTCTCACAAGAATGTGTCAGTGCTGCACCCACATTTGTTTACTCATGCAAAAAGCAAAATAAAGGGAGCATAGCAGGAGCAGAGCAGAAACGTATAGAAAATTGTAGGCACATTCCTGTCTCCCTTTTTAATGTAGCTCTACAAAACTTTCTAGCTTCTTTACCTACAGTAAGTGTTTTGAGATGTTCCATTAAGGAATTTTTTGAGACAGGTAGATATTGTACATGCTAATCTGCTTTAGCGTGATAAATGATCTGCTTTGCAGGCCAGTTTATTACTCTGCGTATGTATTTGTTTTATTTAGCTTATGTGATTTTTTTTTTTCTGTAAACCTCACTGCTATTAGTGGCCTTTCCTAAGATCTAATTGGAATATTACAAAAGCTGGAGGCAGAGTTTCCAGGTTTGGGTTTTGCAGTCATCTGGTGGGCCATAGACCCAGTCTTGCTTACCGTTGCCCAGCGGTTTCACTGAAGTAGAGAGGTCAGGAGTCAGCACAAAGCAGTCAAATGGCAAGAGCTCGGTAGTGGTAACTTTAGAAATCTTTCCAACACTGTCCTGCCTTTCAGGAGGAGGAGAAATTGTCAGTTGTTCTCCTTGTGATTAATATTCCTACATAGTTGTTTCATATTTGCGTTTTTTCTGTCTTCTTTTTGCCCAGTGCCTCCGTTCATCTCTGGCAGCAGCGACACGGTAGCGGTGGTAGTGAATAATCTAGTGAGGCTGGAATGCGAAGCGAGAGGTATCCCTGCACCTATCCTGACGTGGCTGAAAGATGGTAGCCCCGTTTCCAGCTTTAGTGATGGGCTCCAGGTGCTGTGTTTGGATCCTGCTCTCCAAGTGCTTTCCTATTTAAAACTAGTGCAATTTAAGGGCAAGGGAGTAAGTTAAATGGTTTGGAATGAGATTATAGGAGATTCTGCTCTAGGGTAGTGGTGCACATTTAGCTCCAGAAATTAGTGTGCGAAGTGAGCTCACTGTGAGGATTTTGAAATAAGTTGGTCTTACAACTGATTTCCTGTTGAGCAAGAGTTTGCCTCAGCAAATTTGTCGCTTATTTACAAAAAGGAGAAGTTGGACTGGATTTCTGTCCTGAAGACATCCATACAGTTTAAGACTGGGTAATGCTGGAGAAGCAATGTTGAAAGATTTGCACTGCAGTTACTTTCAGGGCCATAGGTAAGGAGAACCTGTCAGTCTCATGGGTTTCCATCGTAACAAACATGACTAGCAAACAAAAAGCAGGTTTAAGACGTTTAGAGAATTTGATGTTCATGGCATTAATAACAAGTGACATTGTTACATTAAAAACAAAACAAAACAAAAAACTCTTTCCAGACATATGTGAATCCTTCGTTAACACGGTCATTTGTGAGGATAGACCTGGACATATTTCCTACCTACTTCTACATCAGTTTTTTTTTTTCGGGATAAAACAGTAATTCAGAAAAAAAAAAAAAGGAGGGATTCTTAAATAGTTAAAAGGAGAGGGTGTGATTGCTTTTTGAATGTAATTTTAAGGTCTGAACGGAGTCAGAGGGAATTTTATGTGATATAGGGATAACGTGGGCACAGATAGAGGATATATTAGTTCCCTATGAATTTGCATGAAATTGGATTTCTGCTTTTGCTGAATCTTGGTCAAAAGAGAACAGCTGAGTGAAAGGAAGAGTGTAGACAAAAAAAGAAATGTTGGTAAGCAATGGGAGAACTAATATTTTGCTTTGAAATAAAGCAGAGTTTTCTGTTTTCAAGTCATATGTGCTGACTGTGTCTTGCTTCTATTGCAGGTTCTCTCCGGGGGCCGTGTCCTGGCTTTAACCAGTGTTCAGATCAGTGACACAGGAAAATACACGTGTGTTGCAGTGAATGCTGCAGGCGAGAGTCAAAGAGATATTGATCTTAGAGTGTATGGTGAGATTTTTCTGGCAAATTTCTATGTTTTTTCATGTAAAAACTATTTACAAAATTTTAACTGTATGCAAAATGGCTCAGGTCTTGGTCAACCATTGAAAGAAAATGGTTCCAAACCATATTAAAAGGACAAGTGAGGATTACAAATGTATGTAACTTACTGTTACATAGTACGTAACTTACTGTTTCTTTTTTATTTTCTGGATCCTCTGTCCCTTTTAGCTAGATAAAATTAAGGAAGTTGGTTATGAGTGTGTTTAAAATCATTATTGTGTGATAGAAGCTGTCCTGGGTTGAACTCAGCTGCAGGGCCATTTTGAATGAGGCTGTCACCAAAAAATAGTATCACCCTTAGGACTTAACCTCATCTGGGGTATGGGACATTAATAAGTCATGGGAGGAAAATAATTAGGAATAGTGCAGGAGCTGGAGTGAGTAGAAATATGCAACATCCTGGGCCAGACTACGAGATGCAACAGTCTAGATCATGTTTGGTTGCCATGAGCATAACCTTGTTCCTTCAAAATACAAACTCTTTACTGTCTGTCTTTTTGCATTTCATGAACTCAGTTAGCTTTTGAACGCAGTTCAGTTTGTTTGAGAGAAAAAGCAATTGGTGGGAAAATAATCAAAAATAAATTTGCCTTCTGCAATAATGGGTCAGCTTCCAATTTTCAGTTCTGCAGCAGTCATAAAGAATCTAGGCCTTTTGTGAAGTCTACAAGGAAAGTGAGATTAAACAGATTTTTCTTTTTTCTTGGTTACTGTATTTCTTATCCACGGGGACCAGACTTTTCCCTAAATTATTTCCAAACTGTGAAATCAGCTGCTCTGCTAAGTACTTCCTCTGAAAAAAACAAAACAAAAACAAAGCTGTATTGTTAGTGGGTTTTTGATAGCCATACTGCTGGCTTACTGAGCAGTGCTCTGGGGCATTTTATAATCTCAAATTTTCTAATTGATTCAATGTCTTTTTGTTCAAAGTGAAGTCTGGAGTATTTCTCAGAGACAGCCCCCCTTCTTACTCCCGTGTATTGTGCAATCAGACATGAGACTTCTGGAGTAATGGATTGCAAGGCTAAGTGTGAAGGAAAAGGGACAATAAAGGCTCTTAAATTTGGCTGTGTTAAATTTTTAGTTGTGCAAACTGAATTAGTACATGCCAGTCATAAAAGTCCCACTGGATATAAGCAGCCAGACCAAGTAACCTCCAGGACAGATTCAGTAGCGCGCAGGAGTAATGCAGAACACTGATGGCCCACACATTCCCATTTTCCAAGTCAGTGCATGCCTGAGACCTAAACACTTCAAAATTCTGAATGTGGCAACATCCTGGCGAGGGCAAAACACTGCTTAGGGAATCTCAGAAAACTTCAGTTGGCCATGAGAGAGCACGATGTTCCCCACGGACATCCAGTTTGGTGGGGAATGCTGAGGCGAGGCCCGGATGGTAAAGAGTTTAGGGGCATTGGCCTGCTTTTAATTTAGCGTCATCAAGCCACGAACGCCAGGGAATACTGCTCGCCAGGGAGTACTGCTTGCTTGCCACATGCTAAGGTTTTGTTCTCAATCACTTTTCCGTTGCTTTGTTTTCTGGCTATGAAAAAAACAAGGAAAAAAAAGGAAGAAAAAAGTATACATTTTCCTATTCAGGAACAGCTAATAGACTTCACTTAACTCTCCGCAAGCATTTGATTTCTACAGAGAAAACTTCATTCCCAATGAATGAAGTTCATTCATTCTGATTTTTACACACTAGAAATTTGGAGAGGTATGAAAATGAGATAATCACTGAAACTGGTGTGCAAATTAAAAAGCATTCAGTCCCAACTATTGCAATAATTAGCTAGCAGATACCACACACAACAACTCTTCATTTTTCTTATCAAGAAGAGTTAAAGGTTTTTGCAGCTTCTCAGTCAGCTAGTTGCTTCAAGAAGCTTCTCAGTACTTCATTAAATGAAGAGTTTCAATCCCCGCAGTATGTCTTACTCCGGGCAGTCCGCGATGCCCACGGTTTCCTTGTTTTGGTTGGTTGTTCCAGTCCCGCCGAACATCATGGGTGAGGAGCAGAACGTGTCGGTGCTGCTCGGCCACCCGGTAGAGCTGCTGTGCCGGAGCGAGGCGGTTCCCCCACCGGTGCTGGCGTGGTTCAAGGATGGACGGCCCTTGCTGAAGAAACCAGGTCTGAGCGTTGCGGAGGACGGCAGCGTGCTGAAGGTAAATGAGGTCGTTTGGTCTTGATTGCTGCCCAAGGGGCAGGTCCACCATGAAGGCACTAGATTTGCCTGAGGCTGGACAGCGTTAAACCCTTTGGTGCAAAAGAGTAATGGGTAAGGATGGAAGGAGGTCCAGGCAATAAACATGTGTTTGAGTACAGGTTTTGCAGTAGTACTGTATTATGAATATTTAAGGAGATATATGTAAAAATAAAAGTTGAAAACTGAGAAGCCCCTCCCTGTTGCATTTCTTCACAATACTGTGAAAAGAAAAATCCAGAGTTTTCATTTTCTTTCTAGATTGATGGAGCTCAAGTACAGGACACAGGCCGTTACACTTGTGAGGCGACAAATGTTGCTGGGAAAACTGAAAAGAACTATAATGTCAATGTTTGGGGTAAGATTTTAAAAAAATATTCCTAATACGGGAACGGGGCTCAAAGTGAAGTTATGATGCCAGACACTCAAACGCTCTGTATTTCATAAACATTCAATTTCTAAGGTTCATGCAGAGAGACGTTATTGTATTTGCTGTCATTTAACATTCCCAGGAAAGCGTACACATTTTTAAATCATTGCAAAAAAAATTTTATAGTTCAGAACTGCGTCATTACTTATTAAAAAAAAAACTCTTCCAATGTTGAAGTGGAGTTTGGATATTGCAGTTGTATTAGACCATGCAACTTACCCATGCCGAAGCATATGCCCCCCTTTGCTGAACATTTCATCTTTGGCTCCTTAATTTCCCTGTCCTCTAGCTCCCCACCCAGTCCTGGAAGACCTGTACTGTTGCAAGAACTTTGGGTGCTGGAGAGATCTGCATTTGTTTTTTAGTGCAGTGAGACCAGTAGTATTTTGAGGGAAGGGATAGTTCTTTCTAGTTAGCAGCTATGATGGAACTAGCTTAATAGAAACCACGAGCTGCCTGTGAAAGTCATTGTGGATGACTGTTTAGAATTACCATCTTTGTTTACACACTGGGAGCAGAAGTCCTGCCTGCCATATTTTTAATTTTAAATCCAGGAGATGTATTCTTCTGAGGATTGTTGAGATCCTGAGAGCTAGCTGTGGTTCCAGAAACTGGTAGAATAAGCCCATGTGTTAAATGTAAGATGGACCTCCTTAGAGAATCTTTCTGATTAGAAACAGAGCAGCTAAAAGGTTGAAACCAGTACAGTACCATAAAATCCTCTCTGGACAGTCTTTCTGAAACTCTGTACATCCATTTGCTGCTTAGCAAAGCATTAGCCTGAAATTTCAGAAGAAAAAGTGCTCTATTGTCGTGTGCATTAGAAATGGGCTGGATAAGTTAATTCACAAGTGAGCTTTTCTTCTCTGATTTCAACCTGTGTTCTCTGGTGGGGTTTTTTGGTCTATTTTCAAGTATTACCTACGCTGTTCTCATCTAAAGAAAATGGTTCCCTCCCTTCACGAGGGCAGTTATCCCTTCCCCAGTGATTGAGGCAATGTAGTTTAAGACCTTGAGAATACGAGTGAGAGGAGACTGGCCCCTTTTCCATGCAGCTGCTTCGCAGTCACCTAGGTGTTGAGCAAAGCTGGTGTTCTGTTCTGGCAGGACAGCTGAAGGGATGGGATTTTGAGTGTAGGATGCAGCAGCTAGTGGACTGTGTTGCTGAAGGAGATGCTCAAAGCAAAAAATGTGGCTGAATTTTAAAAATCATTTTCAGACTAATGATGATATCTGTAGGTCTGTAAGTCTCTGAGTCAGTTTTCATAACACACAGAAACCGCTTTGTAGAGTGAAGCCCATTCAAAAGCCAGCCATAGCTGCAGCCTGTGGCTACACTGCCTCAGAGGCTGGAGGGATGGGTTTGGTCATTCCTAAGCGGAGTATTCCTTGCCAGAGTCTGGATCACAACTTTGGGGAAGCAAATGCAATCCTTGTAATTCTTGCCATGCTCACTGGAGCCCATCTGCACAAGGCTCAACAGGGTCTTGCCTTTGGCTGGTAACATTTTATTTCACATGATGAAAATAGTTGGCGTTTCTTTTCAGTGTCCCCAAGTATCTATGGTTCAGAGGACATCTCTCAACTGACAGTAATTGAAGGGAGCCTGATAAGCCTGATATGTGAGTCCAGTGGCATCCCCCCACCCAGTCTGACCTGGAAAAAGAATGGTGAGTTACCACCTCTTGTCCATTTTATAAAGCAAATGCAATAATTTTTGCAGTTTTTTACTTCTTGTGATCATTTTATACAGCGTTTTCCAAGGAGTTCAGGAGATTCCAGAGCTGACTTAAAAATGGACAGTTTATACATACTGCTGGTGAAGCATGTGTTCCCTCTGAATATTCTTGTTTACTACAGCAGAGCAGGACTACATCTAGACTTGTTTACAAGTCCCAGGTGGCATGGCCATGAGTTGTGAAATACTGTGGTGCATGGGCATCTCTGTGATCCACAGTGTGACAGAGAAGTGTCCTCTAGGTTCTTTTAAAATTTGTAGCCATGGCACATAGCCAAGTGTTGAAACTGCACCTAGCTGTGGTAATTGCCCTTGGATTTGCTGAACTTTTCTTTCATCTCAACTTAATATTTAGAATAGTATGCACGCCCATTGACAAATACCTTCTTAGCCTTAAATATAGTAAAGTAGCTATTTTTGACACCTCCTCTTAAAGAGGATTAGACTAACTAAGATACCAAACTCTTCTTATATGATAATTGCTGTGCTTTTAATGAGTTTTGTTTGTGTTGTTCTGTAGCATTCAGTGTGCTTTACACCTACCTTAATTAATTTTCACTTCTGGAAAGAGCAGATTTAATTACAAAATACTTTTCCACTATGTGAAAATTTCCAGGAAAACAAAGCTTATCAAGTTCTTCTTAAAGCCTTTCTCATGGCAGCAAAAAAGGTGAGGTGTTCCGGTATTGTGCAACAAAGCCAAAGTGTATGCACTTAAATGGCAAATAATAATTGAAACTATTTGCATGTCTAGAAAGACATTTAGAAAGCTGTGCAAATTTGGATAGTGCTAAATAATGAAATTCTTCAGCATTCTTGAAATATAGTACATACATTCAGAGACAAGATTTTTAAAGATGTAAGTGGGAATGAAAACTGAGTTTGTAAGGATTTTGAGTAGGAAATGCACATTTTTTTGATCATGAAGTCTCCCCATGGTTTTTAAAGGTGAGCAGAGATGCCTAATTTTAGGTCACGAAGTTTGAGAATTCTGCTGAAAGAATATGATATTATATTGCTGTACTATGACTCTCATATTTCTCATGAGGATTTCTTGGGCGGACGGGTATGTACGCGTGCTGTGTGATATAAAATACACAGGTGGTCCAGGTGATGAATCACCTGAGCAACCTCCCTACCCTTTCCATTATTTTTATCTGACAGCCTGTCTCTTGCAGGCTCCCTGCTGGTGGCTGACCTTTCGGGAAGAGTGAGGGTACTGTCTGGGGGCCGGCAGCTGCAGATTCCCGTTGCTGAAAAGTCTGATGCCGCGTCTTACACGTGCATGGCTTCAAACGTGGCTGGAAATGCAAAGAAAGAATACAGTTTGCAAGTATATGGTAGGTTCATAGTTCACCACTCTGATGCAGTTAGGTTATGAAAGAATTCTCGGTATGGAGATGCTAAGTTGCAAGTTTTCAAGAGTCAAACTCATGTTTCCATTTTTAAAATGCCTGTAACCTATATTTTAAAAGTTCTTGTGCTTTTCTCGGGTGGAGGGTTATCTGTCCTTTTGCAGCCTGTGGAAAACATTATGAGCTGCAGAGTGCCCCAGCTGAGTTGCCAGAAGTAATCCACAGTAACTAGTCTTTTATTAAAATGCTGATGGTTAATTTGGCTATTGTTGTGTTCAGATATCAGTGAAGATCCTGAAATACAGCATCTGTTTGACTACTGTGTCTTTTTCTTTCATAGTTCGCCCAACTGTATTGAACAGTGGTAGCCACCCATCAGAAGTTGTTGTCACCCAGGGAAGTGAAGTTTCCTTGGAATGCGAGGTCCAGGGTATTCCAGAACCAACAATAACATGGATGAAGGATGGCCGTCCATTGATGAGTGGAAGGGACTTAGAAATACTTCATGATGGGCTCTTTCTTCAACTAAAAAATGCCCTGGTGTCAGACACTGGCCGCTATGTCTGCGTTGCTGTCAACGTGGCAGGGCTGGCTGACAGAAAGTACGATTTAAACGTTCACGGTGAGTGTGTAAGAAAAATGGAGCAGGCATATCAGAAACAAATTAGTCCTTAAACCTCTCCCAGGGACATTAAAAAAAATAGTAGCGTACTTAAATATCCTAGATAATTGAGAGAGAAAAATCAGAGTTTAAACAAGAATACCCTGCTGATGGCCCTTGCTTGAAGACAGTTGCCTGAGCCAGGACCTACTCATCAAATGCTCTAATTTCTGCCCTCTGGATAATTTGAAGATGGTGACCTCAGCGATAATGCATATCAGTCATTGAATTTGGTGGCATCTGTTATGGCATCACATTATATTACAGCCACTTGGATTCAGAGTGGGACTTCTCTTGCATATGATTTTTTTTTACCCTTCACCAAACATTGAATGTTTGTGTTTTGAAAGGGTAAAGCCAGCAAAGAATGGAGCTGCTCTACCACTAAACCAGGAGAGTGGATTATAGGGGTTTAGTGACCAGATTCTTGGCAAATCCCATCGTGTTCCAGTGGTGGACGAGTAGCTCTCTGTAGAGAGGGGTGTCGGTCAGGACTTGCACTGAAGTTCTAAAGAGAGGAAAGGGTTATAGAAACCCAGGTTATCTGTTTTGTAGTATGAACTACAGAAATACTTCCAAATTGAAACTATTCACACTAGGAAGGAAAAGACAAAAATAAATTTATTTTACTTACTTTGATCTGCAAAAGAGATTGTTGTGTGGAGTGATAATCAGAAATTTTTGTTCATAAACTGTTACTCATTGGAGATCTTAAACCATAATGTAAAGTTAATAGTTCTGATGAAATTATTTTTAATTAATTAATCTTAAGGTACTTTTGCCTGCTGGCTTTGTGATCTTTTAATTTTTTCCTTGTAGTTGCACAAGCTTGTCATTAATGGAACAATTGTCTCAGTTTTGTAGCTTCTCACTTATCAGGCCTGTCTTGAGTAGATTGTTCTTTGGATGACAGGATGCTTTGAGACCAGAAGTCATTTTATTTGATGTGAAGTGTGATTTTTCTTTCCTTTTGGTCCATAGTTCCCCCGAGCATTGCTGGTGACTTGCAGATACCTGAAAACATCAGCATTGTGGAGAAAAATCCCATCTCGCTGACCTGTGAAGCTTCAGGAATTCCCCTGCCCTCAATAACATGGCTCAAGAATGGATGGCCTGTCACTGCAAACAGCTCAGTGAGGATCCTCTCAGGTACAAGAAACTTTGAAGCTGTTGGAGGGTTTTCTGATTTTTTTTTTTTTTAGGGGATTTTAGTGAAAGGCCCTCTGCATCTGCAGATCAGGCATTTTACATGACCAAAAGTCTGATTCCATGATCTTTAAAGACATGGAGAAAAAAAGAAACCCTTCTCTAGTACCAAATTGTTCAGCAAGTGAAATCGGATTGGCTGGAGTGTCTGATAATAACTGCATATTTTACTATTAAATACATTTTAAGTCTTTACCAAGCTTTACTTGGAGAGGACAAAAGTGTGATAGCTATTAGGGCATATAGTCTGTGGTATAGTGTACATGGTAATGTAAATATTGTCTGGCCGTGGAGCTGACTGAATCTGATCTTTAAAATATCTTCTTTTAGAAGCCCAAAAAAGGTGTCAGGCAGGGAAGGACAGCACAGCACAGTTCATTGATAAGAAGGCAAGAACAGTACAAAGTTCAGTGAACACAGGGTAACTTAAGATAGGCAGAGAAACAGCTCCTGTTCATCAAGGATCCTAACTTCCAAGTTCAGATGTATTTTATGTCCGTAGTGATCGACAAAGGTGGGCAAAATAGGAAGGGCTCAATACTACACAGTCCTGTAAACCACAGTCCTGCAGGGAAGGGAGACTGTGTTCTGAGGAAGCTTCCAATACTTGGACGTAGCCAAGCCATCTAGCAGCGTGGATGTGAGAAAGCCATGAGAGAGGGAAATAGGCTATTTCAAACTTCAGCTAAGCCAGGATTTGCAGCTGGAATTCATGAGGATTTTTTTCGTCTGTGTAGCTTTTAGTGTTGCAGGTAGTCTTGCTTTCCGGTCTTACAGAAATGTGGATAAAAGGATATGGAAAGAGGAGTGTCTGTCTCGTTGTTATCTGATAGAAATCTGCTTTGCCACCTACAAAAACAGTTTCTTTGGGGGATGATAGTTGCTCTTTCTCCTGTTGATTTCTACACCCACACTAACATCAGCACCCTGATTGCAGGCTTGGGAAGGGTGAGGCACAGAAAGATGTTTATTGTCTCTGAATGGTAATGGTAGTGGGAGGGGGGAAACAGGCCAGAACTTGGTGCTGTTTTTTTTTTCCCCAGCAAACTCTGTGCTTTTGTGCAGTTCTTTATTAAACTACACGTTGCTGTAGTGAACTCTGACCAATATGGCATTGGAGCTTTGTTTATGCCTGTACAACTGTTAAAAAAATAAAAACAAAGGCAAGCAACAAACAAACAAAACTCTTCAGCTAATATTTAAAAGGTAAAATACTTTGCCAAAGCAGCATTTCAGTGCTGTTGATTGAAAACATGCTTGGCACTGCAGATGATTTAAATGTGTGGACATGCTGTTGGCAGCTTGAATTAGCTTGGAAACTGCTTATGTTCCTTGTTGATGATGTTCCATCCTGAGCCCTTTGCAACAAAAGTAAAGGAAAGTCTCCACCATAGCACATCTGTCCTCCTCACCAGCACGCACCAAGCTGCATGCCAGCTTTGGGAAGGAGAGAGGCTTTTATTAAGTTCCAGGGACATGTAGAGAGTCTTCTCCTGCCTTGGCACTGGACTGCTGCTCTGCAAATGTGTGATCTCAGAGAGAGCTGCACAGTCTCCTGCAGGTAGATACCTCTGCTGTGTGGCTTCTTAAAGGGCTTTGCTCAGCCATAGGAAGGATCAGGGTGATAAAAGGCTGTGGGACCTGAGCCCTCCCAAATCTTACAGTGCTCCCTGGAGCAGGTGTGAGTCCTTGGGCTTAGGTACATCCAGGAGCAGCTTGGCAGTTTTTTTCTTCGAAGTATATGACCAGAAACATAAATTTGGGAGATATATCTCAATAAGGAGACCCAGGGGATCTCCATATGCAGGAGATGTGCAGTTCAGAGGTGCTGTACTGTGCAGTGATGATTGCTAATGCGAAACTGCTACTGAGGAAGTGGGAGAAGGCTGAAGGATGGCCATCACATTTGTTTTTATACTCAACCGCTTATGTTCCCTTTGTTTTGCTGTTCCTTTGCCAAAAAGGAAGCAAAGAGAAGATACTTTGCTAGGGAAAAGTGAGGATATTCGCTGGTCCTTTGCTCAAACATGCTTGCACGTCTTCCCTCCTTTAAACCAGCATACTCTAATGGTGGTGCATTTTGTGGCTTTCCCCTCAGGAGGCAGGACACTCCGTTTGACACACACGAGTGTAGATCATGAAGGTCAATATACCTGTGTAGTGATGAATGCTGCAGGGGAAGCAAGGAAGGAGTTTGACCTTTCTGTTCTAGGTAAGTGTGATGATTTTTCTTATAACAGAATTAAAGAAACGGGGCTTGCTATATACTTTGGTAGTACTTTGAAAAATACTTGGCCAAAGCATACCTTCTCAGGAAGAGAAAAATTATGGGTGATAATGTGGTCTGGAAACAAGGTTTTAGGTGATCTGGAAAGGTTGGGGTTTGGTGGTTCTTGACAGATCAGTTCTCATCTGGTGCACTGCACAGCTCATAAATGCCATGATGACAGGACCAAGGGGACAGGGGAATAGGGCTATTTCTTTTGGCAGCAACCTGAACTGAAGCTGGCTTAAAGCGGAAGGAAAACGACAGCTGCAGGAAGGCAAATGGAAGTCATTCTGGGAATTGGATGCACCTCATGCTGGAAGGCAAGGAGCTGCAACTCCTGTGATAGTTCTTGTGCATCAAAATCCGCAGTATCCTGCCACACTCAATAGAATATTTATAGTTTAGCTCTGTAATGATAATAATCTGTTGAAACGAAGAGGTGAAAACAAAGCCAAGACCTACTGTGAAATTAAACATTGGACGTGGAATTGTTTTTTTGCACAACAGAAATCTCTGATCCAAGGATAATCTTCAATCAGTAAAGCTTTTGCTACTGTCAGGCACTAAACAAAATGTGATAGTGGATGCTCCTGCTAATGTATTTAGACAAGCACTAATGCAGGAGTCTCTTTACATGAGAACATTTAAAAGTATATAGAGCCTTCAATGTGTAATTTTGTCTAGTGCCTTACTTTCAGAAATGATATTTTTCCCAGAAAATACTTCTCTTTGTTTGAGTCACTATTTATTATTTCTGCTAGTAATTACCAGGCCTTAAGCAGGTTGTCTTAGAGCATTAGTGTGTAGAATTTGACTGTAGGTCTTTTCTCTAAGATGTAGTGCACAATTCATTTCCTTTTGCCTTCAGCTGACGTAGGCATATATAATAACTTAGATTCATGTCAGTTCGTGTTTATTTGATGAGCTCATGGAAGTGTGAATATGGCAGAATGGAGGAGATGGCCAACCACTGCAAAGCCTGCATTGTTTTACTGTTTTCTTTGGAGGGTTTTAGCAGAAGAGTGTTCACGAGGCTTCTGGGAGCCTCTCTCGCATGGGCTTTGTTTGCCTTGAAGAAGAATGCTCAGCGAAGTGGGCTCAGTGGAAAATTCCACTGTTGGCTCTTCCCTGCCCTCCCCCCGGTCATTTTTTTTGTCTTTCTAGAGGAAAGTTACTGGAATGTGGGCTGAGAGCGGCGCAGCGCACGCGGCGGCTCACTGCAAGCACACAGCGTGCGGGAACGTTCCTGGGCTGCGGCTCCAGCCTGCGTGGAGAGCTCAGAAGTGCAATACTGCTATGCTTGCAAAGTGCTTGGTGTCATACTTCTGAAATTAATGTGTGCTGACAATTTGCTCAGGAATTTTGGGGCCAAAACCATGAGTTGTGCATAAATAGGTGTATTTATGAACAAGGACTTTTGGCCTGACTTGGAAGTCCTGACAATTATGATTTTGGGCTGTATTTTCTCCCGTCTAATATTGTATGTCTTTGTCCAGCCACATTTGAATGCTAGAACCCCCAGGAAAGTCTGTTTTGCATCGCTTGCACAGTGGCAGCAGGGAATTTGACCATGACTGCATTACAAGTTGGTGAGAGAGCCACATTGTCTGACCACCAGGTTTTGCTAGCCATCATCCCACCACACATCCTGGTCAGAAGCCGGCGTTTAGCTGCTCTGAAAGTTTTGTCACCATTCCAGCCATCCAGTGCCAACTTGTAACTTTTTGTTTTCTTTTTTTCTTTCCCTTTTTTTCTCTTCAGCACTATCAAAGATCTGATGTGACACAGCTTTTTCTCAGTTGACAGTGAATTCAGCAGATCTTATTTTACCTTGATTCTGCTTGTGATTCTTATTTTTTAACACTTTTGCTTACATCTTACTGGTACGTCACAAATAAGCTGTGAAATATATTTTCCTTTCTTGTGTCATCAAGTGGTGAATTCCACAATAGGGTTTTTCTTATACCGAGTAAACTATTTTGAGTGTGGGTAGGAGTTTTAATAGTATAGTTATGTCTTTTTTTTCTCCACAGAAACAGATTTTATAGCACTGCTAGATGCCATTAGATTCATAATTTGTTTGTCTGCCTCTGTGGAGCTGTATCAGTATGAAACACAGTTATGCCTTTACACAACATCCACCCTTTGGTAATCTACTATAACAACAACAAAAAGTTTGTGAACAAACAGGCTTTATCTGTCTCTGTCTCTCCCTCTTTTTTTATCACTTCTTTCCTAGCATTCTGGATAGATACTTTCAATTACTTTGAAATTACAAGCAGCTCTTAAACTTAAGCAATGGTTTTGAACAAATAAAATCGCTACCTTCTTAATAAGGGGGATAGAATTTGCTTACAAACTTACAAAATGTGCTGGTGCATAAAATCAATCCTGGCACACTAACGAAGAGCACACTACCACTGCTTGTCATCTCTTGCTGTGTTGATTATGCTCAAAAGTGTAAGGAATGCACCTGAGCATCCTCTAGCTCTACAGAGACAGCAAGGGGAACATGTTGTGGGGCAGTGGTCCCTTTGCATGGAGCAGTGTGGTTAAGGATTGCAGAACTTGGCTGTCTCATATCTGGACCTGACTCTTGGAGGTCTGGCTGAGCTCCTTGTTGATCTGTGTGGCTGAGGGAAGCATGGGCTCAGGCAGTGCCTTTGGTACATAGTGGTTGCAAGGAATATTCTGATTACAGAATGGTTGAGGCTGGAAAGAAGCTCTGGAGGTCATCTAATCCACCCAACAGGTTCGAGGAATGTCACCTAGAGCACATGGCCCAGGACCCTATCTGGACAGATTTTTAGTATCTCGAAGCATGGAGAGATTTGATATTGATGTTTTCTTTTTGTCTGTCTGCAGTGCCTCCAGGGATCGTGGGTGAAAATAAACTGGAAGATCTGAAAGTGAGAGAGAAACACAGTGTTACCCTCGCATGTCAAGTGACAGGTAAAAGTATACAGTATTATTCATCTTTCCTGATCAATTCCATGGTGTCAGTCATCACTGGTTTTGTTTTAAATGGAACTTTCAATCCAGTAGAATTTTTTAAGATTCAACATGTAGCAGAAGGAAGAAATTCTTGTATGTAGCTTGTATACAATGTAGCCAAGAGGACAGTGCCATGATATTTTTGCTCGAAAACCCTGTGGAATTTAGGAGGAGGTGTATATAGAGCCTACAGAATATTATACTATAGAATAGAATATAGAATATGTATTCCAAAATATCTCCCTAAAGCATATATTTTAAGAGAACCTCTGAAACTGTATTTTTCCGTTATTCATTATATTCATTTCCATTTTATAGAAAGCTTGGACTGTTCTAGAAACTATGGAACAACTAATATTTGCAATTTTCTGTAATCCATTAAGGGAACCCTGTACCACAGATCACTTGGATAAAGGATGGGCAACCTCTACTTGAGGATGAAGATCACCATTTTCTGTCCAGTGGGCGTTTTCTGCGAATCACCAATGCCCAAGTCACCGATACAGGGAGATACACGTGTATCGCATCGAATGCAGCTGGGGATAAGAGCAAAAGCTACAGTCTTAATGTACTTGGTAAGGCAAGTGCTGCTTGCTGCTGCAAAAAAGTACTGATCTCAAGGCGACCAGGCAGTCACGCTGAGATTTTCTAGCACTTCATTTATAGCAATGTTTACCAAACAGGAGCCAAATTCCTAGACTGACTATTCAATAGAAAAGTTGCTTTTCATGACATACCCTTCTCTGATTAGCGATTTTTCTGCTCCTAGTGTCTCCAACCATTGTGGGTGCAGATGGCCATGGAATTGCAGAAGACATCACTGTTATTCTCAATAGCCCAACCTCCCTAGTTTGTGAGGCTTACTCATACCCTCCAGCCACAATCACCTGGCTGAAAGATGGCAATCCTATGGAATCAGACAGAAATATCCGAATATTGCCAGGTAAATGCTTTCTTTTTGTCTTTGAGAGGGAAAGTAATCACAGAACTTTTTTTTGATAACATCAAAGAATATATTTTATTAAGTCCAGTGTTTTGTACTTTCATAGAGCTTTCCATTCCAGTATCTCTGAATGCTTCACAATTAGCTGATCAGCTACTTGTATTTTTTTGTATTGAGGTATTTATCCTATTCTTCCATAGAGCTAAATAATGTTCTTAAGTTCACTGCAGTTATTAATGAGCATAAATAGTGTGAAATTCAGTGTGGAAATGAGCTAGGTGGAAAGAGATATAATCAAATAGTTACTAAAATATGAGGTGGTATTTTTCTAAGTTATTAGTAATTTGCCATTTTTCTCTCTATAGAATAACTAGCACATCTATGAAAATGAGAAAAGCTCCACTAGTAACACTAAAGTACTGCAGGAGAACAAGTAATTTAGTCTTGTCAACTGCAAGTGCTCAGAGGAAAAATGAGTAGTATTATTAGCTAGAGGCTGAATTACTACATTGGGGGACAATTTCTGGGAATGCAGTCTGAAGAGAGTTGCAGCCAAATTAAATAGTGACTCATCTTTGAGAATGCAGACAATATAAATCATAAATAAACAGGGTGCTATGGGAAGGAAATTGCTGGATGTCCAAGTTGTAAAGGCCACCTGAACTGTTAAATCCTGGTGATTCATTCTTGCTTACACTTCATTTCATATAGTGGCTGTTGCCTCTGTCCAGTCTTCAGAGAACATTAAGGGCTTCTCTTAAATCAAGTGCCACACATCTTAGAGGCTCATGTCAAGCCCTGTATGTTCAATAGTTTACCTTTACTTAGTCACGGTGCTTATGTTTCATCCTCTTCATTCTGCTTAATTCTTTTTTCTGTGACGTACAGAACCCTAAATCTAAATATCTCCTAGAAATTTCTTGAACAGAACTACGTTAACAAATTCTCCAGAAATCCAGCAGCAGAGAGTTGGGTATCAAAGCACTCTGTAAATTACATGCTTGTTCATTACATCGTCTACCTGGTGATGTGTGTTTAGTTTGTCGTGCTTGTCTAAGAGCAGAATTTGGCTGCAAGGATGAAGAACGCCCTGCGGACCATTTAAATAATTGGCAAGCAAGAGTATGATGTGGTTGTTATTAAAGAATGATCTCTTGGCAGGAGGTCGGACCATGCAGATTCTGAATGCCCAGGAGGACAACACAGGAAGATATACCTGCATAGCCACAAACGAGGCTGGAGAAAGTTTGAAACACTATGAAGTGAAAGTCTACAGTAAGGAAATACTTCCAGTACTGATGGTTTGCATTCTCCCATTTCTGTCCTTTGCAGTGTTGGCTGTCCTAGAAGGGGGGGATTTTCAAAGCGGTCGTTAGTAGCCTTGTTTAGCTAACACCTGCCTTGGCTGATTGGGTGCTCATGACATTGACTGGGGAGAGGCACTGGAAGTTTGTTTCTGCATCCTTTAAAAGTGCTTCTTTTGGCCAGAAATCTTTGTGTCACCCGGGGAAAGACATTTAATATACAACAAAGTCTAGTTTCCGCTGTAATTTTTTCAGTTATGAATTTCAAATTAGTTAAAAGCTGCACAATGGGAAACCAGAAGAGTCTCAAGACCACTTGAGCTCTTTTAAAGAAATGGGGTGGTATGAGAGGTGTACCAATAAAATGCTTAACCTCTAATGGGAAACTTTCTCGGGCAGGTAAAAGGGGAGGATACTATTTTTATATCCTTCCATAAAATACCATATACGTGGAAGCTTTCTTGTGCAAGATTTCCTGACACTGCTTTGTCCTTTGGGCATCTGTGCCTAATATTCTATTGTAATGCTCAACTTCTTCAGTATGGGCTCAGTCAAGCATGGCTTCTTATTTCTTTTTTTATTTGCTAATCTTTAGTCAGAATTTGGATTGCTTCCTCTCAGTAACTGTGCTGTTATTTTAATTACACTAAGTTCCTAATAAGGTCCCACAGGATTAGGAATAATGAGAAGATTATGAAAGAGCTCATTATCAGTGTATAACTATATAGCAAAATAAGTGCCCTCTTTCTTCCTCCCAAAGGCCATTACAACTGCCAGTCATTCTGATACTGTAGACTTCAGGGAGAATTTTAAATTTCCTGTTGAGAAAAGAATGGGAAGCACTGGAAAAAATAGCTTAGGAGACTGATGTGGGGGGTTGTTTAAGAATTTGGAAGTGTTCTGCTTCATTCTGATTCAGAACAAAACAAGATTTTGCAACATTGGAGTTTTCAGCAGAATGGAAATTCTGAGTTTTGACCAGCTACTCTGACTGTGGACTTCAGTTCAAACATGTGTTTTTGAGGATATTTGTTCCTTTTAAAATGGTTTTTAGTGGTTGCACCTCACAGAAATTTGTAGAGTTCAAGCCAAACACCTAATAATGTGGCCATGGCCAGATTTGCATGTCAAAAAAATGTTTAACACAACTGTATTAACCCAGCTATGGGAAAGAGGCACATTTGAGGGCTATGTACTTGCCTGCCCTGAGCTTATCATCACTGTTCTCCCTGTATCCGACTCGACTTGGACGTGCTGCCTATGACAAAAAAATGTCTCCCACTTGCTTTGTTCATGTGCAGTTCCACCCACCATTATCAAAGGTGATATCTCAGGGATGGGTCTCTCCCCCAGAGAAGTGAAGATCAAAACAAACCACAGCCTGACACTGGAGTGTGAAGCTCACGCGACTCGTGCTGTTTTTTCTGGTACAAGGATGGAGAGGCTAGTCACCAACTTAATTCCTTTTCATGGGCTGGTTTCCTACTGGAATGACTGCATATTCACTGTCACCACTGAGGAACGGTTATGTACTGTGACAGGCACATTCACACTGCTAAGTCAGTAGGAATCATCTTTCTGCTGTCTTGCTTGCAGGATCTCCCTTTGTGTTGTCTTAAGAAACTTGCTGGTGGCCAGACCCTGCCACCAGGGGCAGGTGGTGAGAGGGCCCTGCCTAGAAGTAGCACCCAGGGCATTGCCACATGTTGCTTTGCCTTTGGGTAGATTCCCCCACAGGCCCCACGCTCAGCTCTTCTGCTGCCCTTGCAGAAGCTGCCAAGAGCCTCCCACTTGGTGCTGGCACAGCTCACAAAGCCGCAGAGGCATCCGGGTCCTCTGCAAGGGGGAATTCAGAGTGGTTCCTGCCACACACAGTCTTTGCAAGAGTATCAGGAGAAACAGTTGGGAAACGTGATGCCACAGAAACTAGCTACCAAGATCAGAAAGATCAAGAACTACCGTTTTTGACAAAGACAAAAAGAAAATTGTCTCCTGAAAAATAAGGGTTTGATCAGGGTTGCTCAAGGTATTTTGAAGCAGGAGAGAGGTGACCTCATACGACTTTCGTAAACACGTCTCATTGTGGTATAGGTTTTGTGTGGTATTAATGTATATGTAAAATTGCCTTTCAGCCTCTTAAACCAGATGATCATGTCATCATCCAAGGCAGTGGTCATACTCTGCACATTAAGGAGGCTCAGGTGGCAGACACTGGTCGTTACACTTGTGTGGCATCTAACATTGCTGGAGAGGATGAAATGGAGTTTGATGTAAATGTACAAGGTGAACAGCATTCAGTTTACAAAGTCCTTATTTTCTGATTATCTCTCATGCGGAGGTGTCGGAATTGTTGATAATTTTGTATCCTTTAGACAAAGTGTGCTTGATCCAATCCAATATTTTGGGGTCTTAAAAAAGAGGAAGGGTGATGAGAACTTCAAAAGCATTGTAAATGTCACATATGAATGAAAGAAGAGTCAGACACTGTCTTTCATGAACATACATGGGATAAAAGTCATACCAAATATTTTATTCCATAAGAGTTTTGAGATAGCTTGAAGCTAAAACTTGATCACAGCCAAGCAGTTTAGTGTTTAAATTAATGAATGTTGAGCAATGCTGTTTGTGGTTTGTTAGCAGATCTTCTCACACTGGTATTCATTAGTCTCCAGGAAACATTCAGCAGATTGATCTGTTGTTCATTTTTATGGAATTAGTTTGGCTCAGTTATATTTGGGGGATAATTTAGTATATATAACTTGCTATTAATGTTATTTAGTGATTACAATGTGTGTTTATTTATTGACTTTAAAATTAGTAATTTCCGTTCTAATGTATTTTTTCCCCCCAATCACAGTTCCTCCGAGTTTCCGAAAGCATTACAGAGAGTGGGAAGCTGGTAACATGGTGGACGCAGGAAGAGGAGAAAACAAAGACGTGATTATCAACAACCCCCTTTCTCTGTATTGTGAGACCAATGCAGTTCCTCCCCCTGTGCTCACCTGGTATAAAGATGGCTACCCACTAAGCTCTACTGAGAAAGTACTGATATTACCTGGTGAGTATTGAAATATGTCATTTAATCACTTTAAGAAATAATGCTAGCACTAGAATTTTCATGTTCATAACAACTCTTCCTGTTCAAAAACTATATTGTTCTCAGGCCGTTTCGTCTTTCTCTAGTGGAAATGCTTCTCCCCAGTGCTCAGACCTAAGCACTTCATTTAACTTTCCTAAGACAGGATAGTTTTGGGTGGCGTGTGTGAAGAAGGGTATGGATTGAAGGGCAGTGGTGAAGGTGACAGTATTTTCCTCCCTACCATTCATCTGTTCAGAGACTAGTGCCCACCACTCCCCAGATGTATTCCAAATATATCTTCTCTTTATAAAGCTATTTAAGGGCCTATCCTTGAGGTTGAGAAGAGAGTGAAAAGTAGAACTAGTATGCACCTCTAAGCTTTAGAAGTGAATTTCTGAATTACATGTAGCTCCCAGTACAAAGTAACAAGGAAATAAAAAAATGTTTAGTCATTTATAATCCAGAATAGATGTTGACCACTCCTAACTTTGCTTGCTGAGATCTCCATTGAAAGGTGGTGTGGAAGTGATGGAAACTGCTTGGTTTAAATCTTGCATTCTCCTTCCAGGAAGCCGAGTGCTACAGATTGCACGAGTGCAGGCTGAGGATGCTGGGAGATACATGTGTGTGGCTGTAAATGAAGCCGGGGAAGCTTCTCTCTTTCTAAATGAAAACAACAAAAAGTTCTGTAGGACTTAATAAGGCATTATATTCTACTCTTACTTAACTTCTGAAGTTCTCTATATTTATAAATATAACAAAAGGCATATGCGGAAGTCCTGTTTTTACTCTTGGTGTCATTTGGTCCCAAGCCAGTCTCCAGTTTGTGTATGGTTTTGCTCTTTTGTCATCTTAAAAATTGCCACTGAGCCATCCTAAGTTGTGACATTTTGCTCTTCGGTAGTACCGCCATCCATTGAGGGAGCTGCCGGTGACCTGCCTGAAGAAGTGACTGTGCTTGTGAACAATCCTGCAGTGATGGACTGCTTGGCAAGTGGTAGCCCTGCCCCAAGTGTCACTTGGCAGAAGGAGGGCTACCTTCTAGCAGAAGATGACAAACACATATTTTTATCCAATGGAAGAAGATTACAGGTAGCACCAAGTGAATAACTGATTTTTAGCATCACAAGCACATAGACTACCCATAAAGTCAAATCTGTTTAGATTTGCTGAGTGTGCAATCCTGTATTTCTATTTTATTCATCTTGGAGGTGCTGCCAGCCTAAGGAGCATCTGTCCCTTGTCCCTGCCCCTCAGCAACTTATCCCCACTCCTGTGTCATTCCTCCGACTTAAATGTTTGTGGGGCATGAACTGTGTGTGAACTGCATCAGGGAAATCAGTTGGTTAAAAATAATCTTACAAACAGAAGGATTATTGTTGAGAACAACCAATGTTCTTGGTTTTGTTTGAGCTTCCTTAAGGGTGTTTAATTTTTTCAAAATTTACTTTTCTTGGAAAGTAATCTGTTCTGAAGAAGAAAACCCCACTTACTCCAATTGCTAGATGAAATCAGATGAAATTATTAAAGCAGAGAGCTGAGCTTATTTCCATCTCTTCTTGCACCATGAATTAGGAATGCAATAACATACAAAAAACATACAGAACATTAAGATTTTTATTTTAAATATTTTGGGAATAATTATTTTGTTATTGATTTTGAATTAGCTTAACATGACAGATATTTCATTGGCTTTTCTGGAGGTCTGAAATGTGCAGGTTTTGAAAGGAATTAGTAGAAGTTTTTCAGGTTGGTTTCCTAATAATGCAATTTATCCTACAGTAGGGCAGAAAAGTCCCAATGGAACAAAAAAAATCTGGAGCCTCCCAAAATTGATGCTTTAATTGTTAAGCTGTCTGGTATATCAGCTCTACTAAAGTTTTTTTTCTTTTTCTTAGATTTTGAATTCCCAAATAACAGATACCGGCAGATACATCTGTATTGTGGAAAATGTAGCTGGAAGTGCCAAAAAATACTTTAACCTGAATGTTCATGGTAAGTGTATTAATCCCTAATTTGCTGATTGTTTGCTTTCAAATGTTTAATTTTATTTATTTTAGTGTAGTGCTTTAGTAGCTTTGTGTGTGTTAAGTCACCTCATTGGGTGTAATGGAGCTTCTGACATAGTAGAAAATAGAGATCAAGTAGGAGTTTAAAGTGTCTTGGTACCACACCATTAGCGGGGCTTTTGATACCCCATGGCCTAGCTGCACAACTAACCCCTGTAGCTGCACGTGAACACTGAGGGAACCTTGTGTACTGGCTGCGTGCCCCGTGTAGGCTTCCCTTAGCTCTGAAATCATTACTCACAAACAGGCTGGATAGAGAGCTGCTTGAATGTGGAAATTAATGTTGGAAAGCATTAAACAAGTAGGTGAAGGTGGTTTTTTTTTGTATTTCTGTATGTTTCTAATATAACTGCTTTCATAAATGGAAATATAATATGAAAGGATACCTTCTTTATCAAGTTGATGTATACATTTCTTACCTTACAAGTAAATAACAAACTAAAATAAAAACTTTTAATACATGGAAAGTAAACATCCAATTTTCAAATCTTAATAGACAGTATGGATAGATAGGTAGTTTTCATACTGAGTGCTAAGATTGAACCCGTTAAGGTATCTATAGTCCTGTACAAATACATTTGTGTATGTAAATTAAATAATTCTAAAACATGTGGCACATTTGTGAGTCTTTTTCACATGCAGTAAAAGGCTGCATTATTTGAATATATACCACATAAATAGTCTAAGCAAAATTCATTAAAAAACAGCTCAGATTTGGCCCTATATATTTAATTTCCCACTGCCAATAATCACATCTGTGGGAAAGCAACTAAAAGTAAATAAATGTAAATAGTGAAAAAAATGTCATTGCATCAGAATCCCCCATTGATTCTCGTGAACTGTTTTATACTCATTTATATCAGAGGGAAAATAGCCCTTGCCTATTCCAAGTTGAAAAACATGGACAAAGTCACCTGGTGACATTGACTTCACTTAGTTTCTGCAGTGCCACAGAGGAGCCATAAACTTGGCTTAATGACTGCACTGTGTCATTCAAGTGACAGAAAGCAGCTGGAGTATTTTGGATGGATTTGGTCCAGAATGTTTTAACATTTCATTCTTTGAGGAAGAGGATTCCATGTTCTTTGGAAAGATTTTTCCACCCAGTGGAGCCAAGGACATGCCTTTGCTTTCCTCTTAAATGTTTTATACATCCATACTGTAAAAACATGGAACCTAAGACTTGGGATGTATTAAAAAGAAAAAAATATACTTTGTTTTAAATAGTAATTGTAGGAAGGTCAAATGTTAAAATATTCTTGTATTTAGAAATACTAGGATTTGTAAGCCTAAAAATATAGCCTTAGAGCAATGCACTTGTGCCAGACTTCTAAACTGGTTAACACTACACAACAGGTTTGTCTGGCTAACAAAAAGACTGTGATCTAGAGCAGAAAGAATCATTTGTGGTTCTCTAGCATGAAAAAAAGAGATTATTTAAGAAAGAATAGGAACAGTTCAGAGTATCAACAAGAAATGATAAATGCTCCCATATATTCTGACAAGGTAAATTTAGTTGCCTTATATAGCAGAAGTTCTTGAGAGTATAGTGTTTTGTAATTAATAATTCGTTAGTCAGGAATTGCAGAATGTGTGATAGCTTAATTAGCCTTCCCAAATCCTAAGCAGGGAAAGGATTGCACGTAAAGTTTTTGTGAACTGTAGGAAAAAGCATGACAGCTGAACTAGCTTTGGTCACATTTCCAGATACAGCCAGAAAGCGGAGATCAGTTCATAGGATATGAAAGATGTTTTCAACTCTATCCTATGGCGTATCTCAGCAATTTAACCTTATTTTAGTAAATCAACTTCTTGTGGAATATTAGTTGCTGTCACCCTGATGGATACTATTAATGTGTTTCTTCCTGCAGTTCCTCCAAGTGTTGTTGGTACCAATCCTGAAAATGTGACTGTGGTGGTAAATAACTTCATCTCTCTGACATGTGAGGTCACTGGCTTTCCACCTCCTGATCTCAGCTGGCTCAAGAAAGGGAAACCTGTCAGCTCGAATACCAACACTTTCATTGTGCCTGGTGAGGAATCTGCTGCTTTGGCACCCCTTGGATTTAACCTCTGTCTGTTTTGCATTGATAAAGGTGGCAGACATTTATTAAGCCAGTGTATTCTCACTATTACGCCAGTGTATTCTCACTATTACTCCAGTGAGTAGACTTACTCCAGTAAGACTCTTGGCCTACTCTGCTTGTAAAACATTTAATATTTGGGCTGTTGTGTGGGTTCGCTTTAAAAGGAAACTAGCTCAGGCAGAAAAGAAATAAAATAAACTTTTTGTGTGGGAAAGCTGGAATAGCAAGTGACATAATCAAGGTGCCCTAGTGTAGGTATTGATAAAAGCTGTGTCACTTTGACTCACCCCTCAACGGAATGATCAAAAATTGAGGTGGGAATTAAGATAAATTCTGATGGTTTAGAGGCAAAAAAAATACAGCCATACCATTGAATTCACTGAGGAATTAGATTAATCCATAGCAAACTTTCGATCTCTCAGGTCAAAACCCTTGTATTCTGAGGTCTTTCTACCCATCCCAAGGCCTTTTTCAATAAGGCCCAGGAGAGTCTGCATCATTTCTACTCCTCCTGATGATGTTCAGCCCCGTACTTTTTTTGAATATAAGGTTAATACAGTGCCTACACTCAGTCTGTTGGACCTGCAATTTCAAAATAACATTTGAGATTGGTTTAATAAGCAGGAATAAATCTGAAGTCTCCTCTCTCTACTTTAGGTGCTCGGACTCTGCAGATTCCCCGAGCCAAACTGTCAGATGACGGTGAATATACTTGTATTGCCAGAAACCAAGCTGGGGAAAGTCAGAAGAAGAGTTTCCTAACTGTCCTTGGTTTGTTTGTTTGTTTTTTACTCTTTTCTGAAATAATATCTACTGCTGTGAAAATGCAGTATTTTATATTTTTCCTTAGGTTGTTTTTCCCCCTCTGACAAAACAAAGGCAGAAATAACTCTCAGCTTGTTCTTCAGTCCCCCCAAGCATCAAAGACCATAGTGGGACGTCGCTGGCAGTGATGAATGTGAGAGTGGGCAGCCCGGTGATATTAGAGTGTGAATCCAATGCTATCCCACCACCAGTCATCACATGGTACAAGAACAGGCGCATAATTTCAGAGTCTGCAAATGTGGAGATCTTAGCAGATGGGCAAACGTTACAAATCAAAAGCGCCGAGGTAGGTGAGACTTGTGAGATGCTGTATCTGCACCTACTCCCTGACTGTTAAGTGATGGTTTTGCCTTTTTTGATGTGTTCCACTAGGTGTCAGTAGGCAGCGTATTTGCAGGAGGTTTTTCATTCTGTAAAAAGGGTTTAGAGTTAAATTCTGGTTAACTTCTAGCATTAAATTACAAGGGTATGTAGCATTAAAATTAAATAGACATCAGAATTTCTGTTTTTTTCATTTCTAGGTTTTTGACACTGGCCAGTATGTTTGCAAAGCTATAAATATTGCAGGGCGTGATGATAAAAAATTCCATCTTAATGTTTACGGTGAGCATATGCTACGTCATCTACAGTACCTGTTATTATACAGCAGACATTATGTGGTGAATAGTTCAAAATAAGCTCCCAAAAGTATTGGTAACCAAACTCTTCATATTGCTTCCATTCAATTTGCAGTGCCACCACATATAGAAGGTCTTGAGCAAGAGTGGGTCAATGAAACTATCAGTAATCCTGTTACCTTCATTTGTGATGCCACTGGAATTCCTCCACCAACATTAATATGGCTTAAGAATGGAAAAGCAATAGGTAACGTTCTGTTACAGTCTCTTGCTGCTCTTTTCTCCCCCTTTGGGGTACAGCTGTGCTATTCTTAGTCTATTCTTTGTTTCTTCTTCATCTGTCTCTAAATGGGCTCTTTAATTAACTGATCAAAACCTTTTTGTTTTGAAATTATAATGAAAAGTTTTTACAGTCTATATTTGCTCTCTTTGGCCTATTTTGAAGTGATCTCTTATTGTGTGTTTTCAGAAAATGCTGACTCTCTTGAAGTGCACATTTTATCAGGTGGCAGCAAGCTTCAGATTGCTCATTCTCAGCTTCTAGACAGTGGGACCTACACGTGTGTTGCCTCCAATGTAGAAGGAAAAGCTCGGAAAAGTTACATCCTTTCCGTTCAAGGTATGGTATGTGAGTGCAGTGAGCAGGGATTTGTATGGAGAAACTACAGTGAACATTATTACTCCTCACCTGTGTTAGTGCAATGTCTCTTGTTATCGAATCTTCTCTCACCTCCATCCCACGTTCCCAGTTCCTCCTACTATTGCTGGTTCCGAAATGCCCAGTGAGGTCAGCATGCTCGAGGGAGAAAGCATCCAGCTTGTCTGCGACGCTGAGGGAGTGCCTGTGCCTGTTGTGCAGTGGCTAAAAGATGGACAAGCTGTTGCCAGTGAGGAATCACAAAGAATAAGGCAAGCAAACATTAAGCAGACTCTCCTTGTGTAATTTAAAGCCTAAAGAGGGGACTTAAAACACTGAGCCTGAACAGTCTTAGCTTAGCCAGGTTAAGACATCTTCTCTCTCTTCAAGCTTTTATGATTCTAGCATGTTTTTTGTCACTACTTTGATTTCTGTGCTATCCAGATATTGTTTAAAATGTGTGGAATGGCTTCCTTACAAAGAGGAAATCTATAATATATAAAATGTTAGTGAATGCTCTTTCTCTTGCTAAATTTCCCTGCAGCCTAGCACAGGAAGCTCAAAGTGCCAGGCCCTCATTGCCCACCACTGTGCCCAGACCGCATCAGGCAGCTTTCCCTGCCTTCTTCTCTCCCAAAAGGATGAGACACAGCTGAGCCCTCTACTTTAAAACACTGGCTCTACTCCAAATGCTGCTTTTTGTTTTGATCCAGAAGATTTGAGGGTCTGAGAGAAAAGCCAAAAATGTTCTTGGTCTAATGTAGGGGTTGATGCAGGTGCAATAGGTAGTACGGCTAGAACTGAAACCTGATACAAGCTAGAGCACGACATCTCTAGGAAAAGCTTTTTAGCCTATCTTTAGTAATAGTACTTTGCAGAGAAGAGTGGTTTTCTAGCCAAATTTTCCCAAGAGAATAGAGGTAGTTGGTTTAAATGTACAAAACTGACTGTTTATTTGCCAGGTCAGAGGAATATATAAACAAGCTCACTGTATTTTATGACCTTTCTTGTAGAGTAACTCCAGATGGCAGCACATTAAACATTTTCAGAGCTGTCCCTTCTGATACAGGAAAATACACTTGTGTGGCTACTAATCCTGCAGGAGAGGAAGACCGAATTTTTAACTTGAATGTATATGGTGAGTTTTTGCAGATGTGAAACTGAGATCTTACCCACAATCCTATCTTTGTGAGTGCTCCCCAGAGAGGGCTAAGAAATGAATGCCTGTCTTTGGGGTGATACTGCACGCTTGTGTTTCCAATTTCATCTCAATAGATGAAATAGATATCACAGTATAGATATCATAAAATGTCTGAAATGGTGATCTGGAAATAAACAGAAAGTAGTTCCTTTAGTGTAGCTCATAATAGAGGAATTCTGCTTGGGTAGAGGAAGATACACTTGGGGCCAAATTACCACAATACTACTCCTTTGTTGTATTAGGTAATCCCTGGGAATTCCAGCCAAAGTACCAGCTGTGAAAAAAGAGATGAAAGTCACCCTTCTACCATGCCTTTGATTTTGCATATTAAAATGGATATTAATTAGTGCTCAACATCATTGCTGGAGAACTTAAGTTTGCAGAATTGGGTAGCTGCTTCTTGTTGCATTGCCTGTGGGGCATTAGATGCTAGATTTTTCCTTGCTTTGGGTTGCTATCTTGTTTAATATCTCCCTCTTCAATTTTTACAAAATACAGTTGCACCAGCAATAGCCGATAATAAAGATGAACCAGAGGACCTCACTGCCCTTGTGGACACCTCCATAAATATTGAGTGTACTGCTGCTGGAACGCCAGCCCCACAGATAAACTGGCTAAAAAATGGGCTTCCTCTTTCAGTCTCCTCCCAAATCAGGTTGCTGTCTGGTGGAAAAATTCTGAGGTACATTTTCAGTTATCTTAACTAGATGAGTTTTCTGCTTTCTTCCGCTATACCAACAGAGCTCTGCTAATGTTGTTGAAAACGAGAATGAACTTTGATCCAATCCATGGCATATTGGAAGCATAATAATATATTCAGTTTACAGCTTAATTAAAATGTTTTCTTTTTCTTCAGAATTGTCCGAGTGCAGGTGTCTGATGGTGGTGTGTACACCTGTGTAGCATCCAACAGAGCTGGAGTGGACAACAAACATTACAATCTTCAAGTTTTTGGTAAGTTGCTCTGAAGTGGTGTATACAAAAAATAAGGTGGTATTTCTTGATTCATTTCTTAACCTAATCTGCTTTCTTTCTCACAAACATAATGTTGCAGACTTTCACAAATGTATCTTAGGTGATAACCTTTAGGAAAAAGTTTGCTTTTCTAAAAATTTTTAATGTGGAAACTGTTTTAACCTTCAGAGTCCTACTTGAACAGGCACCTAGGCCACAGATATTTTAGGTTGAATAACAGTGTATAATTTCCAGTTGAATTTCAACACAACTATTAAAAATAAGGGTAATGAGGTGAGGAAATGCAGAACAGTAGCTGCATTCCATTTGTTTTATATGGAGTATTAACTTTTGGGTGGACTTTGTATTAATCAGCTGCTTGTTTTTCTGCAGTGGCACCAAGTTTGGATAATGCAGGAGAAACAGAGGATGTGACTATAGTAAGGGGCAATTCAGCTTCAATGCAGTGTGTAACTGATGGCATTCCCACCCCAACTATGTCATGGTTTAAAAATGGACATCCTTTAAGCCTCGGAGATCACCTGACTTCAAAAAACCAAGGGATGGTCCTTCATTTTGTCAAAGCAGAGACTGATGATACAGGCAAATACACTTGTGTAGCATCAAATGAAGCTGGGGATATCAGCAAGCACTTCTCTCTAAAAGTGCTGGGTAGGTGTCAACGTTTCAGTCGAACAAAATGTGAGCAGGAAGTGTCTACCCAGGACATCAATATACATATAATAACAATATACATATAATGTATAGTTTTCCTTAAGATTTTGGAAGTACATAAAAGTAAAAATAAGAGTATTCTGTTTTACAGAGTAACTTGATTTAAATAGGTAACTTCGGTAGAAATTCAGCTTGGCAGATTGATAATCAGCTATTGTCAACTGGCTAGACTCGCTAACTTGTCAACAGAAAATAGCTGGAGTTAAAACAGCCAAAGGGCTAATAAAAATCTTCATTTCTTTAATTCAGAATTCTGAAAACATTTTGCAATTACTAATTTAAACTGGCAAGATACAGAAATTACTAGACAGACACATGAGCTGCTTGGTGAATTCGTGTGGATCAACTGTACAAACCCTAAGCATAAGGCCTGCGTACCAGGTGTTAGAAGTTGCTTGAGTCCATGAAGAACTTGGTTTTCTTTCTGTAGAGCCACCTCATATCAACGGTTCTGATCGACCAGAAGAGCTCTCTGTTGTTGTCAACAACCCCCTTGAACTTGTTTGCATCTCCACTGGCATTCCAGTCCCCAAAATCTCATGGTTGAAGGATGGGCGCCCGCTTCTGCAGAATGGTAATGTTCATGTCCTAGGAGGAGAAGTGCTTCGAATAACCAGTGCTCAGGTAAACTACTTATTTCAAAACGTGCTCTGTTGGGCAACAACCCCAGGAGAGTTTGCAGAATTGCCTCCTGTGGGAGTCCTAAAAAGCTCCCCCCACAAAAGCTTCTACCTGCATTTGCAGGTCTCAGCGGAAAACAATCTGTTCTGTTTTCATGTATGTGCAAATTAGGAAAAAAAATAAAAGATTAAACAAAAAGCTTTAGATCAATTCAGGCTCTAATAGAGTTCTACTTAAAAATAGTCTTTATAAAACTGCACTAAGAAACTAAAACTGTAACACCTACAATCAGCCCGTGAAGTTCACCAAACATAAGTGGGGCAGTGCTTGGGGAAAAGGATGAGCAGTCTGATTGTTGCTGGTCTTGTTTGTAAGCAAGCACTCCTTATATTTGCAATGAAAAGTCTACAGAAAAGAGAGAGCATGCAGGTGTTAATGAGAGTGAGAAAAGATTTCCTTAGTACCCATAGCTGACCCTTGCAGGCTGATACCCATCATCAGTTCTGGTTCCCTGATAACCGATCGCAAAAAGCAGCACAAAGAGAAGATTCTAGTTGGAGACAGAGTTTTCAAAGCCATTTTGGGGGGTCCTGCAGCTTGCAAGCCACCTCTGGACAATTATTTCCTGGGAAAATAGACCAGTTTTGAGATCATTTTTTATTTTCAGACATTCTTTGTCCATTATCTTTGCTTTTAGTTGCTGCCTGCCAAATCTTGCTGCCGAAATTTATATTTCTTGTTTTTCTGAATTGCTCCCATGTCCTGAAATTTCTCCTGATGTGTTTCTTCTGGGTGTTTCTAGGTGGAAGACACAGGAAGATACACATGTCTGGCATCTAGCCCAGCAGGAGATGATGATAAGGAATATTTAGTAAGAGTGCATGGTAAGCCAAATTTAGGAAAAATACTATTATTTGCTATTATAAGCTACTTAGGTATGTATCATTTTTCTCATTTAACTAGCTACATACTATCAAATACAAATATGAAACATTGTGCTTTGAGAAAGCATAGTTTACGTTTTTGTGCATAGGCCAGTTAAAAGGGAAAGTTTCAACTGGTGTAACTTCTTTTCTGTTTTAATTTCAAGCTTTATGCTTTGGATGAGTAAGTTATAGATACATCATTTTTCTGTTGGCCTGGGTTTTTGGAAAAAGAATGAAATATATATGTATATAATATAGTTAGTTGTTTAGAAGGAAAAGATAGTCATAGTATCTAAACATGAATACATGAAATGAAGTGAGAGAAGATGAAATAGAAACAGGACTTCTACAATTCTACAGTAAGTATTGGGATTTTTGCGAAGTATAGTTATCAGGTTTCTTGATGAAGAGAGTAGGGAAGGTCTGCTATCCCTGCTCCAGCCAGTTTAAATGTTGGAATCTTCGCTAAGAATGGGCTTTGAATTAATTTCTCACAAAATGCTTTCCAGTGTGTGACTTAAAAATCAGATTCATCAGTTAAACAAAGGTGATATGCTTAATATAAGCCTGGAAAAGTGAAACTACTTACTAGGCACTGTAGCCTTGCATGCATTTTACATCTTGAGAAATAGAATGGATTTTTCCAAAGAATGATTTTAATGAGAGCTCATATGTGTAGTGTTAATTGTATTTCTTAATTTTTGCAACAGTTCCTCCTAACATTGCTGGCACCAGTGGTCCTCAGGACCTCACTGTGTTGCAGAACAGACAAGTTACACTGGAATGCAAGTCAGATGCTGTGCCACCTCCAACAATCTCGTGGCTTAAAGATGGAGAACACCTAAAGGTAACGCAGCGATGTTACTTGCACTGGTCTGTTGCTGCCTTTATTTTGTGCACACAGTGCTTGAGGTTTCTTATTCAGCTCACTTGCGCCATCAGTGCAGTCAAGCTACAGTTCCTTGCTTTCAAGAGAAGCTGAGTAGTCCCAATAAAAACACAGTCCTAAATGAGTGCCTGAAGTGGCCATCCCGCTGTTACTTGTTCTTTTTTCCTTTAGGGGGATCCCTTGCTCCTTCTGGATCCTCTGAACAATCCTAGAAGCCTTCGGTATACTCCTGAATGGCTTCCCAGGAAAGGTAGCTTCCTTGGGTATATTATGCATCCTCATATTCTAGTAGCATTTGGAAAGGCATTTAAATTTATGTTGAAAACAAATAAGTAGATTACTGACTACCTTTTTCACTCCAAACTCCAGGCAGAGTCATGTAAGGCTTCAAGTCCTTGCCAGCTAAGAGATGATCAGCAAGATGCAGATAGCTCAGCAGGATCACTTATACTTTTCAGTCAGTAACCTGGTGCTTTCCAGTTGATCTCTTAAAGTTCAGTTATCGATTGAACTCAACCAATCAATAATTGTTCCCCAGTTAGATCTTGTTTGTGAATAAAGAGGAAAACAATTTGGCTTAGGAATTGCCTCTCCCATAATTGTAGTGGATACAGTAAACTGCATCCAAAAATTTAACTGTAATTTGTTTATGGTGAATGCAGAAATTTGTTTTACACAGACATCTCAAATAGTTCCGTGGAAGATACTTCTGTAGTCAGACTGTTTTTTTTAGGTAACTTGAACTTGTTAGTCTTACTAATATGTTAGCAAAGCTTACAGAGTGGTCATATCAGAAATGTGCACTGCCTTGCAACTGGTTCCAATTTTACTTCTCCCTAGTGCTTATTAGAAAAATAGTAGAAAAAAATAACAGCTGCTTAGGGAATTTCCAATGTTTCACTGGCCAAAGTCTTTCTCAAAAGATCCTGCTTCTTGCTTTAGCTACAGCATTCCTCTCTCAGGCTCTGTCTTTTTTAAAGTTAAGATGCGTGAAATACTAGTAGAAAACACAAGACTATTGAGAGCTGCTAGGGAGTGTCACCTTGAATGGAGCAGAAAAAGTGGCTAGGAAGAACTCTAAGAGAAATACTTCTTGCCTGAATGCTCTTCATTCACGGCGTGTGACTGAAATACTCCTATCACTTCAATTTTTAGGTCTTTAATTGGATAATGATTCTTTATAAAAGTTTGAAAGAGATTTGGAAGTTAAATTTGTGAATATTTTTGGACTCATTCTTTCTTGAAACCTTTGCATTTTAACTAGTGCTTGATTTTTTTACTTTTTCTCAACACTCTTAAGTGTTGAGGAACACTTAAGACCACCACTTAACACCACTTTTAGAAGTTATTTGCCAAAAGAGAAGGAAGCAAGAGAAAACACAATGATAGTCACAGGAATTTATCTCTGTTTGAGATACCTTGGTTGAGCAGTATGGTAAATCCTCCTGTCTTTGGATTTATAGCAAAGTATTATCTAGTCTATCTAGTTTATTATCTAGATTTAGCTCTCCTCTAACATGAAACTTGAGATATAAATTTCACACAGGCCTCTTAATTAGTCATGCGATCTTTGAAGTAGCAGATCTAGGTTTATCCCTACCACCTTTTCTTTCTCCAGTGTAGCTTATATAAGTACATACTACAGATGTCAGGAAAACATTAGTGCCTACTGAGTGTGTGGTTTCTTTCTAAACCTCAAAGAAATGTATTGATTTAGTAATATTAAGCAGTTGGAGAAGAGCTGTCCTTGGGCATGGAAAGAGATGCTCTGTGGCATATGCTTCTCCTTATTTTGGAAAAATTGAGGTCTCACAGTGATGAGAGAGGACTGGAGGAAGTCAGACTTCCAAATTGCAACCTTATTTCAATTTAAAACATCATTGCTTTTTGAATCAGTCTCATGGAGGAGAACACCTTTCCCTTCTGACTTCGTTGTCTTTATTGTCACTGTGCACATTTCAAGGCTTGCTCAAGCTCTCTACATGTTTCGTGATGTGGCTGTGAAGCACCACCAATATTTGGTAGCAGCAAATAGTAGGAAGGTCTGGCCCATAGGAGCTTTTTTAGGCACAATCCTTGCACTTTGCATTTCACTGGAAATTTACCTGTGAGGCTCCAACACTACTCCCAATTCTACATCGTAGGCTGGCTCAGCTGGGTGCGAGTACAGAAAAGTGCAGAGATGGAGGAGCTGTTGTAGCTGCTATCCTCAGATCCACCAGCCAGAAGACTAGATGAGAACTGCAGATCTCATTTTCATTCAAAATATGGCTGACACATATTGAAGATAGAACAAACAAACGATAGTTTTTCTAAAACACTAATGAACTTTTCAGGGATACGTAATTGGACGTTGGTCATCCTGTTACCTTCACCACTGTGTGAACAAAGTTAAACAGGAAATTCAGTCCCCCTGCTCTCTGTCTGCTGTTCTGTTATGAGTCTTTTTACACTGCAACAAAAGAAGGCTCTGGCCTTCTGCACAGAGAAGAAGGGTGAAGTTAAATCTGTCAAGCTCTGTCTCCGCAGGGGACTCCTCGGGTCCGGATCCTGTCCAACGGGCGATACTTGCAAATCAATAATGCTGACCTGAGCGATACTGCGAGCTACACCTGCGTGGCCAGTAACATTGCAGGAAAGATGACCAGGGAGTTCGTGCTGACAGTGCATGGTAAAAACAGGGATCTCTTCTGGAATGTTTCAGTCTTTGCATGGCATTCCCACGGGAGTCCATATTGCTAGAAAGGATTATTTACTGGTCTCTTTGGAGCCAAGTGCAGCTGCTTAGGCTGTGTTTACCTGCCGGTCCAGGTCTATTTCCTCACATGTGCCAGCGTCTAGACAAATTATTTGAACATTTGACTGGCATCTTGGGGGATTTGGGTTTGTCCTTGTCTTGGCTGCTGGTTTTGCGAGTTACTTGAAAACTGTGGCTTGGTCTGCGCTGAGAGTGGGAAGGGCTTGAGGGAGCTTATGTGTTGTGATAGCTGTGCTGTACTATCCTAGGTATTTGTCTACTTTTAAAAGGTTTTTAAGCGTATTTATTTTCTCATTTCTCTACTGATTAGAAGCTGCTCTATTATGACATTATGGTGATGATGAGAAATTTTCTTCCTGTTTGTATGCTTCTCAATACCCAGGCGTATGAACTTGCTGCTTCTTTCTTCTCCATCACTGCCCTTGCCCTTAAAAATTTGTTTTTCCTCCTTATTTTAATTGGACAACAAGAGCATCAATTCCAGTCTTTGTTTTGCTGAAGCAAATATGCCTTTTCTACTTTTCTACTGTTTTAACTGGATGATAATATTTGCAGTAGCTTGCAAAGGTCAGCTTTCTAGTCATCTCAGACCAATTTTGTTTTTCATTCCCAACTGTATCATGGCAATTACTACATGCTACACAAAATGGTAAGAAACTTGTTTGTGTGATGCCAGTATTGTTGCAATCATTCCCCTACCTCTTCTTGTGACCATTTCTGTGTGAGTAGTTTCAGTCATTTCATGAAGTTTTGTGATGTAACATCTGGGATTTTGCCTTTCCAGTTGCTCCTACCATCCGAAGCAGCCCTCAGACAGCTGTTGTGCATATAAATGCTTCTGCTCTTCTGAAGTGTGTTGCAGAAGGAGTACCAGCCCCAAGAGTTACATGGAGGAAGGATGGAGCTCTTTTTTCTGGAAACAACACCAGGTATTGTCCAATAGTCATCATAAACAGTAGTCTTTTTTTTTTTTTTTTTTTTTTAAGAGTGTACTAATTAAAGTTTGATGAAACGTCTTGCATTCCCAATTAGTTCTGTGGCAGAAACTACTTTAAAGAAATTATTCTGCAGAAAAATAGCATTGCCAAAGGTTTCTGTCTTTTATTATTAAGGAACAAACAAACAAAAACTCCTTTGGCAACCTAAAGGTAATGATTTCTCTTGTGATACTAAAGATTTTCAACTGTGAAAGATTTCAGAGTGAAGGATCTTTACATTTTTTTGAAATGCCTGAAGTTTGGAGGTGCAACCAAGCAATTTCCTGCAGATCCAAAGCCCCCTGAGTTTATCTGTGATAAGAGGTATGTGGCCAAATTAAGATGCCACATGTTTAGGTTGTTCCTTGTGTGCCCTAAGTCATCTGTTTCTTCCATGCTATCATAATTGGCTGTGATTTTCTCTCTACTGGGAAGGGGTCAAAAATCCGTGGCTTTGTTTCAGATACTCCATATTAGAGGATGGATCCCTGCACATCCACTCGGCGCATGTGACTGACACAGGAAGATACATGTGTATGGCAACCAATGCAGCTGGCACTGAACGCAAGCGAATTGATCTGCAAGTCCTTGGTAAGTATTCTGCTTTTAGATAATTTCATGTGTTCAAGTAAGTCTGAAGTATAAATCAGCTATGTAATTTTTTCTATTTGGACAGTGTCATGCAAGCTGGTCTTATTTAATGAGGAGCCAGGACCACAGAAAGGAGTGCTGTCAAGTTAGTGTAGCTCTCCACAGTGATCAGCACCCTAGGTTTCTTACCAGGATCACCCCTTACGGAGCGGGCAGTCAGTTAAATTTAGTTTCTTGCATAAATTCAAGTTGATTCCAGTTGGTCACAGTGGCGAAATTCTGTCTGCCTTAACTCCTTGTCTTATGTGTGTGAGACAACTGGAAATAGAAAGAATTGGCACACTTCATGCTCCATGTTTAGTACTCTGTAGTTAATCCTTATTTATAAAGGTCAAGTGAATGTTTTGAAGTAGTTAAAACTGTGTTTATAGAGATTGGCGTTTCTGTATTTAGATACAAGGTGTTGGTGTCCATGTGTTTATGGTCATTCTGAATAATTTGACTTTGTTTGCCCTCTAGTTCCTCCAACTATTGCTCCAGGACCTAGCAATATTACAGTGACTGTAAATGTGCAGACCACTTTGCCTTGCGAAACCACTGGAATTCCCAGACCAGCAGTTAGCTGGACAAAGAATGGGCATCTGCTTCGTGTTGACCAAAACCAGAATATGTACAGGTGAGAAATGTCCTTTTTTCGTCAGGGGTTTACAGTTTTCAGAGATTCATTTTGACACTTAAAAATCTAGCCATATATGATCTGATATTGTATGGTGGCAAATCCAGTGCTTGGATGACCCGAGGAGAAGTATTTCAGTGACTCTACTTTCTTCTGCTTTGTGCGTGCAGACTTCTGTCTTCAGGTTCCTTAGTAATCATTTCTCCCACCGTGGATGACACTGCTGTCTATGAGTGCTCTGTATCGAATGACGCAGGAGGAGATCAAAGAACAGTTGAGCTCACTGTTGAAGGTACAGGGGATATTGCTATTACACATGGATAGCCCAGAATTTCCTTGGGGTATTTCAATGTTGAGATTTTTTTAAATGTTTCTTTAATGATCTCAATGCCCTTCAGTCTGTTCTTCACAAGTTACATAGTAAGTTATTTCTAAGAATTTGTAAAATGAAAATTGGCAAGTAATCCTAACTCAGATCTTCTTTTCTTAGTGCCCCCATCCATAGCAGATGAAGCCACAGATCTTTTGGTAACAAAACTATCTCCAGCAATAATTTCCTGCACGGCTTCAGGAGTTCCTGCTCCCTCAGTTCACTGGACCAAAAATGGCATAAAATTGCTTCCCAGAGAAGACAGCTACAGAATTCTCTCTTCAGGTACTGTGCATGGTTGGAGCTTAGCCACAGAAAATCAGCGAAAGGAGGTCACTGTGCATCTCTGGGATTAAAAAAATAAATAAATATAATCCCCAAAACAACCAGCTCTCCCATTTTTTAAAATAAGTATGTAAACTTCTAAGATACATGTTGTAGGGGAGTTTTTCTTTGAAAGTAAGACACTACTCTATGTGATGGCAAACTCTCTCCCTATACTGCAGGTGCTGTGGAAATCCCTGCCACTCGGCTAGAGCATGCAGGTCGCTACACCTGCCTAGCCCGCAATGCAGCTGGCTCTGCCCACAGACACGTTACTCTTCACGTCCAGGGTAAGGTGGGAAGCAAAACAGAAAATGCAGCCTGTCAGAAGGCATTACCCATTTAATACATGCCCACACTTCAGAGTAATTTTGAGGCTAGATTGGACCATCACAACTAGCAGCTTACTCAAGTGAATCCTTGTGCATGCACTTATTACTCAGCAGGTCAGTCACTGCTCTGCATATTACAACTCTGATGCCTTGGATAGAGCTATCCAGAAATCACTGGATTTTTTTGTTTGTTTGTTTGTTTTGGGGGCTTTTTTTGTTGTTGTTCCTAAGGTTTTTGTTGGCTTTCTAAGTTAACATGTATCTGTGATGGCAAACTGCATGAAGTATGGACAGCCATATTTTGTACCCAAGCTCACATTGAACATACTCGTTATATGTAAAATTAATTCCACTGAGCTCCTCATTAGGACAGCAGAATCCAGCTCCTACTAGTTCAACCTTCTCTGACTTCCAGATTATGCAATTTTTGTGTCTTCTCTTTTATTTTCTAGCTATGAAAGATATTCTAACCTGGCTGCATTTTGATTTCTTTGCAGAACCACCAGCTATTCAAACTCAGCCAGGGACACTGGATGTCATTGTGAACAATCCCATTCTACTCCCATGTGAAGCAACTGGTACACCTCAACCTGTAATAACATGGCAAAAGGAGGGCATCAATATCATCACCACAGGTATCCTCGTAAAACCTGTAATTTCAATCTACTTTGCTGTATCATAAAATTTATTTTCTATCCCCTGCATATTTAAATCAAATATAAGGAAACCATGTGTGTATATCTACCTACATACCCACATATATGTACAATTATATATTTGTATTTATATATATAATTTTTTCTACTCTTATTCTTCTTTCAGGCAATAGTTACATGGTTCTTCCCAGCGGCAGTTTACAGATTGCAAGATCAACTGTGGAAGATGCTGGCACTTACATGTGCGTTGCTCAAAACCCAGCTGGCACAGCTCTGGGAAAGATCAAACTGAAAGTTCAAGGTAAGACTTGAACTCTTAAACTCTTGTTGAAGAGATGTTTTTAATGACTGATGGATGAGGAATTTATGCATGCTTTCTGTTGGTCAAAACTGAGTTTCGACCTGCACAAATGGAGCTAACATTTTCTGAACTGATGTCACGCTGAATAGAGTCACTTTAGTAGTCTGTCTACTGTAAGAATGAAGGTTGCTTTTAGGATTATTTTCACTAAAAGTAGAAGTGTTACATACTTCTTACAACATATAATTCTTTTCTAAATGTTGTTAATTCTTTTTCAGTTCCTCCTATTATCAAGTCCCAGCTCCAGGAGTACATTGTTCCTGTGGATCATTCTGTCACTTTGCCATGCGAGGCTGAGGGCTACCCCGGGCCAGAGATCAGCTGGCATAAAGACGGCCAGCAAGTAACCGAGTCCATCAGAAGGAGAATCCTGAGCACTGGTGCCCTGCAGGTCGCGTTCGTGCAGCCTGGCGACACGGGTCGCTACACGTGCACAGCGACGAACCCAGCGGGCTCCAGCAGCTCGAGCACAGAGCTCGTCGTGCACAGTAAGGGCAGCTGCAAAGAAACAACGTAAATGGGGCCTTGATGAGGGCATGGAACTCCAGGAGCTGGGATTTAAGGGAGAAATTCAGCAAAATTCTGCTGCTTAGAGTATGATACTTAAAAAGGGTGTTAGGAGCATGTGATTCGTAATAGCAGCCAATTGCTTGGATCTAGGAATGTTGTTATGTTTGGGTTTTTTTTTTTTAATTCGGTTTCCACTTTGTTGCATGTATTCCACACCTTTCCCTGGCACAGTCACTGCTAGATTCAGGAATCAACAAAACAGAAGATTCAAGCAATGATTTCTTTATTTCAGTATTTTTACATTAGTGCTTGGCTGAAAAATAGAGCTAATGCGTTGGGTGTGTATGTGTGTGTGTATATATATATATGTATATGCACATACATATATATAGTATATTTAACTTTCTCGCAGTTCCACCCAGGATCCACAGTACAGAGGCCCAGTACACAGTCACGGAGGATTCCCAGGCTGTCCTGTCCTGTGTGGCTGAGGGGATTCCAGCACCAACAATAAACTGGAAGAAGGACAATACACTGTTAACAGACACAGCAGGAAAATTCAGGGCTCTGCCGGGTGGAGATCTCATTTTGGACAATGTTGTTGTAAGTTGCTTTTATTTAAACCATAGCAGGGAAGTATAAGTGGCCTTTATTTAAACTGTGGTTTGGAAGTAATAAGAAAAAAATGACTTCTCTATGCTTTCACCAATTTCTGGATTAGTCTTTTTTGTTCTGTTGTTTTTTGTTGTTCATGTTTGTACTTGTATCTTTTCCACCAAGGAGGAAAGTATCAGAGGAAATAATGATGTTTTGTCCAGAAGGGCAAACATGAGTGTAGGTCGCCTTTCAAACTGAGGGTAATCAAAGGAGTTCAGATGAGCATTTCTACTGAGTGCAGGTTTCAAACCTTTGGAGATTCTCCTGTCGTTACGAGTGATGATGTGGTATGAGAATATTTCCCTGATGAAACTTCCCCCAATTTTTTTTCCTCTCAGCCTGAAGATTCTGGCCATTACACCTGTATTGCTAACAACACTGCTGGGGAAGACACACACACTGTCACCCTGGTGGTTCATGTGCTCCCAGCTTTTACTGAACTGCCTGGAGATATAGCTCTGACTAAAGGAGAACAGCTCAGATTAACTTGCAAAGCAACTGGGATACCTGTACCCAAAATAGCATGGACTTTTAACAATAACATAATTCCAGGTGGGTAACACAGGATCTTACCAGTCGTTCTGGTGTAGACTTTTCCCCACATAACACTCCATTAGTTTGAGGGTAAAGGGAAAATAATATGAGAGATCATGAACTTGCTAGGCAGTGATTACATCAGGAAAAAGTTTGTTTTCAGAATTAGGTCATCATGAAATAAAATAATATAAACTGTAAAGAAGATGATTGAGGAACTGTTGGTTCTGTGTAGCTGTAGAACACAGATGTCCAAAGCTTGAAGTTAAAGGTCAGAATAAGTGAATACATGTGTATAGACCATGGAAGACTGCAGTTGTCATAGCAGTGGCCAGAGCCATATCAGAAATGAAATGCATAGTGCCACCGAGCCATACTCCTGAATAACACGTAATTTAAACAATCCTGTTAAGTATCAACCATTGAGATGTATATTTTTAAAAGCCTTGAAGCGGCAGGTTAACGTCTGTTCTCCCTTCAGCACAATACGATGATATAAACGGACACAGTGAACTTGTTATCGAAAGAGTAACTAAGGACGATTCCGGTACCTATGTATGCACAGCAGAAAACACAGTTGGCTCAGTCAAAGCTATTGGATTTGTGTACGTCAAAGGTAGGTAGAAATAGCAGTGAGAACAGAGAATTTCATGCAGCCCTCTGTTTTCCTTGTATTTGATACCGTGTCTTAAAATTATAGATGATTGATCCCTACCAGCAGTTTCATTAAGGGCCTCTCCTTTGGCCCCGCTCTTTGATTGCCATCCCTTGCTTTTGCAGAGCCTCCAGTCTTCAAAGGGGATTATCACTCCAGCCGAACCGAGCCCCTGGGCGGCAATGCTGTGCTGAACTGCGAGGTCAGGGGAGAGCCACCTCCAAGCATCCAGTGGAGCAGGAAGGGAGCCGGCGTGGCGCTTAGCGACAGGATCCGTCAGCTCAACAATGGCTCGCTCGCCATCTACGGCACCGTAGTGAGTCACTTATCTGTTACAATCAATTTGGGCACTGCTATTAGTTAATTAAATTCCATGTCACAGACTTTTGAAAGAGCAAGGTTACACATTCAGTCCGCTTTTGCTTTTTAACTTTAGCAAAGACTATAATTCTCTACTCAAATTATTGTGACGAGAAATGCAAGACTGTGATTCCTGTCAGTTGTCAGTGGCTTGTTCAAGTTTATTTAAATGGATTTGGAGTTTTTTGCTCTTATTAGGGAAAAAATGAAATAATAGAAGCAAAAATCTTTCACAGTACCAACTTTAATAGAAAGAAAATGTTGGAGTATTTGCTCTTAAGATCCAGTGCATGCCATGCTGCAGTGTGGAGAATTTTCTTCTGTGAAATGCACTAAAACCAAAGAGCTTCATTACATGTGTATTGACAAATTCCATGGCTACTGTTTCATAGAATGAAGATGCCGGCGACTACAAGTGCGTGGCTACCAACGATGTTGGCACGGTGGAACGCAGTCTGACGCTGACACTCCAGAGTAAGACTCAAAATGCTAAGTTTAATGCCACTAGATTGGAGTGATAGTCTACCTTTGGATATGTGTGTGAAGCTCCTGTTGAAGTTTTGGGCGAAGACAGTCAGTGGAGGCTGGGCACCTCACTGCACATTAGATGAGATTCATCTCATCTGACTTTGTAATTAATAGTTAAGGGTCTAGTGCCAGCTAGTGGTTGAGGTGGAAGAAGAGAAGCAGGTAGAGGTGATTCAGCCCATTCATCCTAGAAACCGCCTTAGAGTGGAGTGAGTCACCTTGTGAACGGGCTTGTTGCTCTCAACTGACAGAGAGCAAGTCTGCACAACTAGATTAAACTAGACTCTTAACTTCTAAATTAATAAAGTTAGGTGAGATGGATCTCAGCCTTCATTGACAATGTAACATTTTTTCAAAAGTAATATTTTGGAATATACTATTTCAGTGATGTGTATTTTTAAACATCGCTTTCCTGTTATAGCTTCAAGGAGGATGAAATTTGCTACTTTTGTCTAGTTGCCTCAGGTAATAACATCTTCCTGCAGGTTTTATAAAAAGCAACACATTTCAGCCCTGAAGGAAGACTGTGCTCCAGCAGTCAGGCCTCCATGCCACTGTTGGTCCACAGGTTTCTCTTACATTAAAAATAGCCCATTGCTGTCGTTTCAGCTTGCACGTGCCCTACCTTTTGACATTGGACTATTTGATCTCAGAAAAATCTTAAACCTGTACTTAAGATGAACAATAGTCCAAATTAATTTGCTAAGATTTTTTTTGTCCTTTCTCAGAGCAGACATTTATTTAATATTCATTACAGTGAAAATATGTACGAGCCTGTATTAGAGCAAGTTCTTGACAAACCTGGTAGGCTTGAAACATCGCCTTGCTTTTCCTTTTTTCAGGTCCTCCAGTCATTACTATTGAACCTGTGGAGACTGTCACTGAAGCTGGAGCCACAGCAGTGCTGAACTGCCAGGCAGCTGGAGAACCTCCTCCAAGCCTGGAATGGGCTCGCCAGGGGCGCCTGCTCGTGAGCAGCGAGAGAGTGACCGTCCTGTCCAACGGCTCCTTGCGGATTGTTGCAGCGCAGAAGGACGATACGGCTGAATACGAGTGCGTCGCCAGGAACCTCATGGGATCCGTGCTTGCTAGAGCACTGCTGACTGTCCAGGGTAGGTGCACAGTATATAGGATGGTGACTGTCAAGCTGGATGATTCCAGCCTTAATTCAGAATAAATATGAGCAGGATTTTGTCGTATTCCTTCCGTATACACATTAGGTGGCACGTGACCCTAGTTTGAAATAGGTATCAGTGAGGTTCTGCTTTATGTGATCTTGTTCCTTCTGATGGGCTGATATGGTCATCAAGCTGTAGGAGAGAGAAGAATGTGAAGGAATGAGGGATATAAGTAACAATGAGGATGTTGAAATAGATCCCATTCTCTAAACGGATGACATAACTTGTACCTCTAAAGAAAAGCATTTAGCAGCATAAACCATAACTATTTCAGAGCAGCTGCAGTGTTCTCTGAACTGCAGTAAGATACTTTTGCAGTAATGAAGAAGCGAGTTGAATTTCCAGCTATGTCTTTTGAAGTGTAGGTTTCTCTTTGCTTATGAGTCTAAGAGAGTTAAAACCAAAAGCACATGCTCCAAAGCGAGCATCGCTTTTCCCATTGCAGTGCATGGTGGATTTTCCAGCTGGCTTGAATGGAGGCCTTGCAGTGCAAGCTGTGGCCAGGGTGTCCAGAAGCGGATCCGACAGTGCAACAACCCTCTCCCAGCGAATGGAGGGAGGCCTTGTGAGGGGCCCGATGCAGATGTGCGCAGCTGCCACAACAAGCCTTGCCCAGGTATTTCTTGATGAGTTAATATTTCATTTGCCTTACGTTAAGTGCCCTAGTAATGGCCACGTGACAGCAGGTCTGCGTGACAGAGCAATTAGTGATGTGGAATTCACCCTGGCTTCTAAGGAAAGCCCAAACTTGGTAAATACTTTAAAAAGAATTTCTAATTACAACTGTGGTGTTTCGTTTTGCTTAGTGGATGGCAGCTGGTCGGAGTGGGGTCTTTGGGAAGAGTGTTCAAAGAGCTGTGGTCAAGGGAACAGGACCAGAACCCGAAGCTGCAGTAGCCCCCCGGCTCAGCATGGCGGGAAGCCCTGCGACGGCCGTGCCGTGGAGTCAGTCATGTGCAATGTTAGGCCTTGCCCTGGTAAGAGAAGCAGAAGCTGCTTTTTGTATGGCTTTCTTTTTGTTCTCTAAGCCTATATTCTCTCCATTTTTTCCTAATTATTAGATTATAAAAGAAAATAAGCTCTCTAATGTTATCTGTATTAAAATATCTGTATTAAAATAGCCTATAAATTATTGAGCGGCCCAAGTTACTGGAAGCAGGAATCACAAAAGTAGATATAAGAAATGTTTGCAGATTTTCTTCCTCCATGAAAATGTTAATTTTGTATTTCAGTGTTTTACAAAATGTTTTTTATCATGTGCTTACAGTAAAACTCACTTCTTAATCCATTTTTCAAGGCCAATTAAAATGAAAAAAAATAAAAAAGTAGTGCAAAACATGGTAATTAATAGCTTTAAGACATTATCGGTATTTTTTTTCCTTTAAACTTTCAATAGTGAATTTCTCCTCGCTAGCTGTATGTTAGGATTTCCTTTCTGGCTTGGTACTATTTGCTGTGTTTGGCCGGATGTGCTTTGTTTACAGCCCCTCATCAATAGCATGTTTCCTTCTATACAACTTCTGTTTTGCTCATTTTCCCATTCTCCCTGACTTTGCTATCCCCAGAACGTCACATGTTCATCTACAGGCCAATTGTCCTAGATGCTGGCAACCAAATCAGTTCTGCCCCCTGCCTCTTGGTAGCCACTGGAGCTGGTGGGGCAGCTGTTAGCTGAGGCCATCAGTCTAATACAACAAGACAGTCAGATTCAGGTAGCTTATAAAAACACCAGGGTTGCTCAAGCCCTTCTGGTTGCAGTCAGGTGAATTGATGTATTGAGGAAACAGAAAAGGAAGAATTACCTGCTCTTTGGAAACTGTTGCTTGACATCAGCTGTTTTTCAAAGAGAAGGTTTTTCAAAGGCTTATTCAGAATACTTAATTCACTGATGTTAAAGGAGGGGTTTCTTCTTTGGCCTCGGAATGCAGCTACAAGTTAAAGGTTCTGTGCAGTGTGAACAGTTTTCTGGCTCTGCTGTCTTTGCAGTTGATGGCGAGTGGAGCTCTTGGCTGCCCTGGGGTCCCTGCAGCGAGACCTGTGGGAAAGGGACTCAGAGCCGGCTGAGGCTCTGCAACAACCCCGCTCCTTCCAACCGCGGGGCGCCGTGCGAGGGCTCCGACACGCAGCTGCAGCTCTGCCACAAGAGGCTCTGCCCGGGTAAGGCGCAGCGCCAGCTTCGGCGGCGCCCTGCCAAACACTCCTTGCTGTCTGCCTAAAGCTGTCATCACTGATAAAATTCCAGTAAAACCTTTTATTCTCACTGGCTCGCTATTTTAAATAGCTAGCCATAGAGCTAACGAGTGGGATTTCTTCTGCTACTCTTATGTCCCTTCTTTCTGCCTGCCACTGTGTAAAAGCTGCATTGTAAATCTATGGCACTTAAATTATAGATACCCTAAGCATTTTGGTTTTGAGTTTTCTACTTTTTGATATTCTTTTAACCTTTTCCTCCACATTTCATGGAGTACATCATTATTGAATAGGAAAGGGTAATAGTTTCAGAGACTAGTTTGTGTATGATTTGACTTTCTCACAAGTAAGTAGTAATCTGAGAAAGACTGAACATGAGGACTCACCGTGGTTGTAGTTAGGCTCACAGACTACTTAAATGACAGGCCATGCCTCAGCCTTCAGTCCTACAAATCCCCATGTATTTGAGATGCCCAAAAGATAAGGAGACAAAACCAAGTAAGTTTTACCCTGATGTAGCTCTGATTCCCACCTTTCTTTCCAGTGGACGGGAAGTGGGCCACGTGGAGCAGCTGGAGCGCCTGCACCGTGTCCTGCGGAGGAGGCAGCAGGCAGAGAACGCGCCCCTGCTCAGAGCCAGCCCCACAGTTTGGGGGCCACGAATGCGAAGGAAATGACCTACAGGTGGATTTTTGCAACAGTGATCCTTGTCCTAGTAAGTGCTTGGGGTGCAAGGGGTGCTAGGTAGCTGACCGGGGGAAAACATCTCCTCAGTAACTGCCAGGAGGACAAGCAAGGTAGCAGGTAGCACGTGAGCTGCTGCTGGCCTGGCCATGAACCTCTGTGAAGTTACAGCTGTCCTGGCTGTTCTTTGTCTCTCACAGTAAGAAGTAGCAAGTCTCTTGGTCTATAACATAACCCTTGTGCTTTTCTATGTTAGTCAGTTAATGATTACAATGTTCTGGGGTTGATTACTGAATTCAAGAAGCATCTGAACGCTGGCCAGGGTCACACCCTTAGATCTTCCTCTCTCTGATCTTTGCCTGCCTGTCTCATTTGCCATAAGAATGCTTTAGGAAAAAGCATTAGAATAAGAAGGTCCCGTCCAGCGGGAATATATTCCTAGCCTGTCTGTCTGTTTGGAGTATCAGTCACTAAAAGAAAGACAATAAAACCTGGCACTTTTTTTTATTTTCCTTTTTCTCTCTTTTCAAAGTCCACGGCAGCTGGGGCCCCTGGAGCGCTGCAGCCCCGCGCGCTGCACCGGTGAGTGCGCTGCTGCAGGGGGGCCGTTAGCACGTCAGCCCTTCATATTAGAAAAGAGAAATACGGAACATTTCCGTTACTATTCCCTGTTTCAGCGAACTTAACGACGATTCACTCAACTTTTAAACATTAAGTTGCTTTCTTCGCTCTTTCCTCCTCAGTGGATGGAAACTGGGGGCAGTGGCAAACATGGAGCCCTTGCTCTGTGTCCTGTGGAGGAGGAGAACAGACCCGAGTTCGCTTGTGCAACAGTCCTGCGCCATCAAATCATGGACATCCTTGTCCTGGCGACTCTTCCCAGATATCCAGGTGCAACATCCAAGCATGTCCTGGTAAGTTAATTTGACAACTGTTGTTTCCTCAGAGAGGACCATGTGTTTCTGCAGTGCGTGGTGTGATGCCTGGGTTATCATGCATCTAAAACCATACTTTTTTGCATGATGTGTAATTCTTGTAGTGTAATACATGTAGAAATACCCACAGAACTCTAATTCCTTAACATGCTGAGCACTGTTCTTACATGGATTTTTTTTCCTTCCTCTCTCCCTCTCCTCCCCTCCCCTGCCCAGGTGGGCCCCCACGTGCCAAAGGAAGTGTCATTGGAAACATTAATGGTGTTGAATTTGGAATTGCTTACCTGAATGCCACAGTGACAGAGAGCCCTGACTCTGAAGCTAGAATAATCCAAGCAGAGATTACCAATGTCCCACGGAGCCTTGGTAGGTTGCTGCTGCTTCGTGAGCTGGGCTGTTTGTGCAGTTCCCATTTTCATCACTTCATTTACTGTCACTGTAGAAACTGATCTAAACTCTCTGGCTCCTGCTTTTTATTTTAAGGGTAATACTAGCTCAGATATTTGTCTGCATATGCCACTTCCACTGTCATGGTTTACACACTTAAGGGAAAAAAATAAAGTCAGATATTGTGTTCCATTACTTTCAGGTGCAGCAATGAGAAAGCTTGTGTCCATTCTGAGCCCAGTTTATTGGACAACTGCGAAAGAAATTGGAGGGGCAGTGAATGGGTTTACTCTCACTGATGCAGTCTTCAAAAGAGAAACCCAAGTGGAGTTTGCTACTGGTTAGTTACCTGGGATATCCCATCTCTTTTTCTATTTGATAGGCGTGATAAAGAGTCCATTTATTAAAGAATACCTCATAACCATTGCTGAATTTTGCATCTTCTGCTTATGACAGGATCTTCCCAAAAAACTATGGTAATCTGAAACCTAAAATACAGCTTTCAGAACTTAATGAGGAATATGTAAGGTTTATATTAGACGTTTGGTATAAAAGTAGGATAAAGTAACTGGTTAATGGATCCAGTTCAGATGTTGGATGATCAACACAAGCTTCTAGTCAGGATGTTTTATAAATCAACGTGCTCTTAAAACCCACAGGAGAGATTCTGCGGATGGCTCACGTTGCCCGAGGCTTGGATTCCGAGGGCGCCTTACTGCTGGACGTTGTTGTGAGTGGCCATGTCCTGCAGCTCCAGGCACTAGCTGATATCAACGTGAAGGTAAAGCTGCTTCTAGAAACCACACTCCTGTATTGATGCACACTTCTGCTCTGATCTGTGAGAATTCCACAGACACATGTCCTGCAACTTTTGTGCTATGAATGCTTTACTTTGTGTCTAGCTTAAGACACTAGGAGATGTCATGAGGAACGTAGTTATGACATACCCAAGATTTTAGGTATTTGAAGTGTTTTTGGGCTAGTTTTCACAGGCAGGCATGTCAAGTGTTGCCTTTAATCGAGTTAGGAAGCTGCATGTTAAAAATAGTTTGTGTTTTTTTTGACTTTTCCAAGAGGACATTGGCTCTTTATGCCATAGCACCTTGCAGAAGTTTTTGGCTGGTGCTGATGATGTTTTACTAGCTACAATTATTTGTAGTGCAGCAGGGAAACATACCTGTGTTCTGATGGAGAAAGATCGGGGCTTAACATGTTCTGGATCAGGTTTTGTCACAGGGGATTTTATGTGTTCTTACCAGGGGTGTTGTTAAAGTGCTGTGAACAATATCTTCTTTTTCCAGCCAGAGTGCCAAAATTCTGGCTTGTGGAGATGTCTGTTATGACAAATGGTCCAATTATTTTACATAACTTGCTTTTTCAAAGAACTAAGATTTCTTTAGGTCCTTTTTCAGGAATGGTTAGAGAACTGCACTGCTTTGCGTGGCAACGTGAGGAAAAGGTTATAACCTCACTACGGAGTTGTTGCACCTGCTGGTTCTTAGAGAGACTCTCTTCTGTTTGTAGTGAGCTGGTTTCTGTCCCTGACCCTGTACTTCTAATAGAGTGATGAAGTTCCAACTGTTTTTATATCTTTTTGGTGTAGTGTAACCCTTAAATATTTGGGTAAGCCATGAAAGCACTCCAGTGTAATATAATACACAGTATCAAAGTTTGTTTGAGTGTCAGGTGTATCGTTACAATTTGTTTAGCTGAAAAATCTCTTTTTTTTTTTTTAGAATGCATCTCACACTGTAAATATGAAGAGAAGGTGTTGGCTGTATTTAGAGGCTGATGCCTGAATCTTGGTGTTTCAGGATTACACAGAGGACTACATCCAGACTGGTCCTGGGCAGCTCTATGCCCATTCCACGCGGCTCTTCGCGGTTGATGGAGTTAGCGTCCCCTATACGTGGAACCACACGATCACCTACGATCCCACGAGAGGAAAAATGCCCTTCTTGGTGGAAACACTCCATGCTTCTTCTATCACAACAGAGTACAACCCTCTGGAGGAAACTGTGGCTTTTAAAATCCACGCTTCCATTGCAAAAGGTATTGCCTGAGTCTTTCACAAAAATCAAACGAGGGAAAGACAGTGTCCTATTTTCCTAGCATTCAGTACCCAGGTTGCAAAAGCTGTTTGTTGAAAAAGAACACTGTGGAGCTCAGATACCAATTCCAATACCTGCAATAAAGTTATGTTTTACTCATACAGCCCAAGAACAACATGTAAAAGCTATTGCAGGTGGCACTGCCTGCACCTGCCGTTCCCCTCGAGGATCACAGTCTGCTTTGGCTGAGCCTGCTCATGGTGGCGCAGCAGCCTCACGCAGGCTGCACGAGTGCTGAAACACGTGTGCTCTTCGAGCAGCGTCTCCTGCCACAGGGTATTTTCCGCTACAGCTCATGAGTACGCGCCTGGGCTCTCCCACAGCGACTTGCCACCCTCTGTGACATTAGACTTGGTTTGTCTGGGGTTTATTTCCCTCTGGCTGGCTGGTGTGAATCTGGATGGCCTTTCCTTTCACCATGATGCAAACGTGCTGGAGGAACTGGGCAGGACACATGAGACTGGCCTGGAACTTGCAGTCAGAGCAAAAAAAAAAATCTATATTTTCTTCTAAACATGAAATAAAAATAGGGAAAACATGTATTTGTACGTTTTAACCTCAAAGTTTTTTTAAAAAAAAGGTCCTAAAAATTTATATTGTATATGGTTATATTTTAGGGTCTAAAGGTATGTAACCTTTTGTAAATATCTAGGCTGCAATAGCGAAAGGAAAAAGGACTGCTTAAAGTAATAGTGTGGTCATATGTCCATCAACAAGTAACACATGGTTCCTTTATTGTGCAGGAGATCGTAGCAATCAGTGTCCTGCTGGCTTTGCCTTGGACTCAGCTGGGCCTTACTGTTCAGGTGATGACATGCCAGATTTTATATATATATTTACATATAGATGTGCGTGTAATCAAATACAGAGCATTGAGATCTAGCTCTTCAGAGCTTTAAAGCATGCGGTACATACTCTGGAAGGAGGAAAAGAGGGAAAAAGATGTGGATTGGAAGGCAAATGTGCATGTTAAGAATGAGCGTTTTAGCTAGTCCTTTAGGCTGCACAGCCAACAACACTGAAGAAGTTGCAAACCTAAACCCATTGCAAATAGAGCTCCTAAAATGTTTTCCAGTTGTAAAATGAGTTCTCTTATTTAAATGTTGAAAGCTTCTTATAATAACCTTTCCAAGGTTATATAGGAAGTGCATATATATATATATATGTGGAATCCATCTGTCGTGTTGTACCACAGATTTTTCAGATTTCCAGATTATCTGGGAAAAAGTTTATCTAAAATTAATTAGCACAATAGTGACCTCCTCCTGCGGAGGTAACTTGAGCAAAATTCCATTGAGGCGGTATGTGTGGAGTTTGGAAACAACTCTGAAAAGTAAGATCTTTAATTACACATAAAAATTCCAATCTCTTGAATTTATAATGATGTAGATTTCTACAGAGTGGTTGCTGTTGTTGTTACTGTGTTTTCTATAATGCTGATGCCTATTATTACCCCGCGGGAGTCTTTGCCCGCAGCATTCTCACGCTCTTATCCGCGGCGTTCCCTTGCTGCAGATGAGGACGAGTGCGCGGGACGGCCCCCCTGCTCCCACGGCTGCCATAACGCCATGGGCACCTACTCCTGCTCCTGTCCCCCAGGCCTCGCCATCGCCGCCGACGGGAGGACGTGTCAGGGTGAGAGGAGCGTGGGGTGGGCGGCTCGCGCGGCCCGCTTGCCTCTCTCTTCACTGAAGTCCCTATTTGCTTGAATCACTAGATGTTTTATTAGGTAGATGTTTTATTAGGTCAGGGCCGTTTTGTCACTCTAAGAACATAATTTATTGGTGTTATTCCTAGTGTTGCAGTGCGGATATGCAGATTATATTTAACAAGGAAGCGTTCGTACTTGGCCGTGTTTTAAGCGCTGCTTACTCTGTGTGTCACTCCCCGTGGGGATGCTGCAGCTGCCTTTCATTGCAGACATCGACGAGTGCGCGGCGGGCGGGCACAGCTGCCCCGCAGACCAGCGCTGCGAGAACTCCGTGGGCGCCTTCCGCTGCGTGCGCCGCTGCGGGCCCGGCTTCCGCAGCACGGCCGACGGGCTCGCCTGCCAAGGTAGGGCCAGGCCCCTGGTGCCGCCTCGCGAAACACTGCCCTGCTCCAAAATTCCTTTTGGAACTCTCCTACACACTCTCTTACTCTCTGTTACTCTTTCTTTTCTGCATGCTCCTTGCACATATTCTTTTACACTCGCTCGCGCACACATAGTTTTACTCTCTTCTGCTTTTTTATATTCTTTCACGTTCTTTTACATACTTGTAGAACAATATTCTCTTTCTTTTACACTTTCTCTATTTTCTTTTACTGTTTCCCCCCTTTCATTGACTGTCCTTTTACCACCTTTCATTTACTCTTTCTCACTTTCCTTTATTCTACATTTTCTTTTATGCTGTCTTCCTTCGTACAACTTTTCCTCTCTCCCACTGTTTTTCCTTGCTTCCTTGCCTTTACACTCCTTCATTCAATTATTTGTACTCTACTCCTTTTACACTATTTCTTTTAGACTCTTAATTTTAACCCTTCCTAGCTTCTTTCACTGTCTTTCTCACCGGCTCTTTTCAAGCCTCCCTGCTCACCGCCCCCTTGCCACTCCCTTTCTTACTCCCTCCACATCCCCTTTCACTGTCACCCCTGGCTTTGTCCCCCCACTGTTGTCCCCCGCTTTCTTCCTCCCTTTCTTCCCATCTCTTCCCACACCCCTTTTCCCCTCCCGCTACCCTTTTTCTCCCCTCTTCCCCCCTTTTTTCCTCTTCTTCTCCCCCTTTCCCCCACATCTCCCCTTTTCCGCGACTCTTCCCTTCCTCTTCCCTCTAGCCCCTCTCTTTCTCCTCTTTTTCCCCTATCTGCCTTTTCCCCCCTCTCCCCCTCTTCCCTCTCCTTTTCCCCCCTACCCCTTCTCTCCCCCCC